GATTTCTTGAAGAATTATGGTGCAGGGGATCCAAGCATTGGTGGCGAACTCATCAGGGATGTTGTCGAGGGGAAGCGAGACGAGCATTCTGGCAAGGTTGTCAACAAAGATGGTGTGCAGCCTTGGTAGATGTGCTGTATCAGGTCATGAGTGAGGTTGGGGTGATAGTTATCTCTCGGAGCATAAGACCCAACCCGGTTCAATATCACACTGCATACATTCGCTCAGTCTGTAACAACGTGTAGAATGTGGCACTGCTTGTATCTGTACTCTCCATGCATTTCTTTGGCTCATCTGGTCTTCTTGGTATGCGAATGACTTATTATCTAGTAAGCACTTGTACTGCATAATGCGGTCATGTCAAACACCCTAAATCTAGACCCATTGTGTGCTACGTGGGGGTAGCTGCGTTCGCCTCGTCCCGCTTGTTCAAGTTGAAATCGGTAATCTCTAGCTAAAGCTCGCTTGATAATAGAGAGGCGAAATCTGCAGGGAAAACGCTCTGGATCGTCAAGATATACATGTTATGCAGAAGTTATTCTAGCCCTCTCTGTCTCCGTAATCACATCCACATCCACAGTGACACCGACAAGCCTTGTAGATCTTCTCACATTCATCGGTACATCAGCTGCAATTAAGATGTGTTGCATAACAAGAGATAAGGGGGAACTAGAAAGAAATAAGTGGAAAACGGTTCCCGTCGCCATGACCCACAGCGGACCAACTACCTTATTCTCGAAAATTGAATGGCGCCATGGGTTAGCCGTTAGTAGTGGAGCAAGACTAGTAAGCCGTTTGGATAATTCAGCCCTGTATTGGATCAACACTCGAATTATTTCCAACCTACAAAGCCTCTACCTTCTCATTTAGGTGATTTGTACCCATGTTGCCTAGATTCGCGTACAATTCAAGGATCTGGGCTACAAAGTACCTTGGGGATAGACAGGCCTTATTGCAAGACGCACCATCGGGGGCCGTAAGCTCACGATTCGCATACATGTAGGAAGAATCAGCATAACAGGTCCTGCCAATACTTAGATGAAGGATTTTTGTAAACTGAATTTGCGCCCTTTTCAAATTGAGTCTGAAGTTCAAAGTTCTGAGTTTTGCGGCTCGTTGAAATTTGGCCCCCACCCAGCCATCTTAACCGGGCATCTGGCCCCCAAAACACGGCAGGCAGATGGGCAACTTGCAGTAGTACTACACAGCATTGACATTAGTTCCCTGTCAGCCAAGTACCTATCAGGCTTCACACATAACTGTACAATGTATGATGAGCTCTGCGGACTAGGCTCCGGCCCCTGCCTCAGCTTTGTACGATACCGAGGCGCATAACTTTGCACCAATGAGAGGATCCCCAAGAAGTAGGATTGGGAAAGTGCTTATTAGGATTACATCGAGCCGGAGAGTACGATATCGTCCCATGTTCCGGCGGTTACAAAAGCGACCGTTGGCAGACTTTATTCCAGTCTAACAAAATAAATACAGCGGATCCCCAAAAGCTGGCTCATACATTGAGACGAGGTCTCCTTCCGCCATGTCATCAGAAGACAAGTCGATCTATCTTGGTCTCTGGACCAACTGGTCTCACGGGTCGGTAATAGGTCTAACCTACACAACCACACTAGACAATGGTGGCTTGTTCATCGCTTTTCTGGCCCTTTTCGTCGCGTTTACCGGTACCTGTTTCTGGAGCATCATATCCTTCACCGTCCACCAAATCTTGAGTCGACCCTCTCCGCAGAATGCCATCTACCACCAGCAACAAGCTATTCTTCGCAGCTCCGACACCAGCTCTGCCGCACTATGGAGGTTGATAAGACTGTCATGGGCTTGGCGTAAGATATCGTGCGCCGCCTCCTTGAAAGCAACGTCAGTACCGCTAGTTGCGAGTCTACTTACCTTTACTGCATTTACTGCAGCTGGTATCTTCTCTTCGCGCGTTGCCTCATCTAGAGGCAGTGAAGTGCTAGTTATTGGGAACAACTGCGCTACTGTGAACGGTTCCCTCATAACAAAGGACAATATTGCTATGACTCAATACTACATCGCCAGCCGAGTCAGATCGAGCCTCAATTACAAGGCAAACTGCTATTCAGGGTCAGATTCGACAGAGCTCTGCCGCACGTTCGTTCGAAACAGCCTTCCCGTCACAGTCACACGTAGCGATTCTTGTCCTTTTGCAGGAAAAGATGCCATTTGCCGCAAAGAGAACGGGGCCATTCGCATCGACTCTGGATATTTGAACAGCCACCACGATCTAGGCATCAACGCACCGCCTTCATCTCGATTTCTCTACCGCACTGTCAACGAGTGTGCTCCTATACGCGGCGCGGGCTACGCACGGTTTAACACCACAAGTGTGCCAAAAACTATGCAACTTCTATATGGGAGCAATCAAAGAGTATGTCCAAATACAGAGAATTGTACTATGGCATTTGGTTATGGAGTGCGAGTGGGTAGTACCGTATCACGCAACCAATATACAGTCACGTGCGTGCTCCTCTCCCATTATATATGTTTCAATCACTGACCTCATCTGATAGGGCCGCAACTAGATGGCAGGTCACCGAAGAACTATCGTATCTTAATGAATGGGAGCCAATACCTGAGCTTGAGGTGCCCAACGCAGATATCAGTGCCCTTTTCTTGGAAATTAACGATGTTTTCTTCTCCAGTCCGGTGGCTGATCCTTGGTACAACGCACAAGCAGGACCTCGAAGCGGATCTACAGGCTTGGGAAACACGACTTTCTACTATAGCGACCAGATGGTGAGGACTCTTGGGTGCGCTCAGCAATATCAATTTTGCAATCCGTCGCTTCCCAAAAATGTCAGCTGTACACCACTGATGGGGATATTTGAAGCTTCTAGACTGGCTGAAACAACACTTTTCACAGACCCAAAGACTAGGAATACCTTCCATTGGTCCTCGCTGGCGATCATGAATATGGCAAATGGTTTTAATGAGCTCATCACCATATTGCGAGGTGGAGCCCTTCTCGCAAGCGACACCCTCTCTGGAGTTGGACAATTTGCTCTACCTGATAACCAGTGGGAGCTTGAACTAGAGCACTGGTTCAAAACTACCCTTGCCGATCTTCAACGAGCAGTGCTCGACCAGGCCACCGGACCAGCAGACAAAACGGCGGCTTCTTTTCATTCTGGACCTACAACCGCAGAGGCACGCGCTGTCTGTCAAAACCAGAAGATCTTATCCGACTCCTACACTTCTTTCAACGTACTCGGTATAATTCTCATCTTCTCTATTGGTGGTCTCATCGTTCTCATCTCGGCTATTCTACCATCAGCGACTGCGCACTTACAGAAAAAGCGAAACCCCTTCGCCAACCTGGAATGGGTCTCAAACGACACACTGCAGCTTCAACGACTAGCACATGAAGCTGTCGGTGCAGGAGAGTGGAAGGGCGCATGCGACGATTATCCACGTACGCGAAAGAACGACCTCTTGGCCGTCCTCGATGTAGCCGACCGAAAGCACCCCGTGCTCAGAGTAGCACCGAGGGCAGCCGACACCATGGAGACAGTAGTCGAAGAACAACACTACGGCGTGCAGAAAGAGGACGATAGCATGAGGACACGAACATATGACTCGGCACAGACTTCTCTCCTCAATGTTGAGATTCCGCGCACGTCTTTGCAGCTTTCACGGCGGTTTACAGACGATGTATGTTAGTATGTAGTAGTCCGGCTTGGGTAGACTAGTCCAGACACTTCCACCAGATGGGGAAATACAATACGAGCAAAACTCCGAGTCGTAACGAAATAATAAAAAATGTATATTAGAGCAATAACAACGCCGTACTAGTCGCAAAGCACGCCAATCGCGCTAGATAATTACGTGACATGTGCCTCGGCTGATGCGATCTACTATTCCGATAAGCCATACTTGCATACATAAACATACATACTACATTTACCCTTTACCTTCCCTTAAACACCCCATACTTTACAAACCTCAAGTACAAATAAATTCATTCCCAAATGCCAACAACACGGGGACAACAACACGCCGCAGACATGGAAGCAGCGCTAAAACTCTTCTTTTCATCCCCACGCTTCGCCGTCGCAGGCGCATCATCTGATCCACACAAGTACGGCCATAAAAGTATGCTCCACATTCACATCTCCTCCTCTCTATAGTCTTTCCTCAAGCGTATGTGGTTACATAATCCCCTAACCACCCCCACCCTCAGTATTCGCATGGTACCTCCGCCACTCTCTCCCCGCCGTCCCCCTCAACCCGCGCTCTCCCACCGTGAACATCCTAAACAAAGACCACACCACCGTCGCCTCCCCAACCGCGCTTACTGACCCCCCTGCATCTGACTACTCGCTTTCCGTCATCACCCCGCCGAGCGTCACCAAGAAGTTGCTCAAAGAAGCGAAAGAGGCGGGGATTCCCGCCGTGTGGTTGCAGCCGGGCAGCTTCGATGATGAGGTTTTGGAGTATGCGAGGAGTAATTTTAAGGCGGCGATTGCGGGAGAGGGGGGCTGGGGGAGCGAGGGCTGGTGTGTGCTTGTGGATGGGGAGGAGGGGATGAGACTTGCGGGAAGGGAGGGGTCGAGGCTTTGAGGGGTGTATGATTAATTGGGTTAGGAAGGGGGGTTTTGTGGATATAGGTAGATGGTTAAATGAATTTCAAAGTATATTGGGAAATTTGATGGCGGAGGGAGGCTTTGGTCATCTGATATTGTGATTTGCATGAACGTGCGGAATGTTGGTTCGATTGCGATATGAGTTGAAGCCGCTTTGATCTGGAGAAGAGAAGAAAAAGTACGAGTTATCGTTATTCAAAGCGGGATTCAGAATCACAATTCCTCAAGTCATCTCTACTTTTTCAACAGCATATGGATGTCAACATTGTGAGAAAACGCACGCGGTATAGTATTGCATCAAGAATTGTTCAAAATGAAATATACATTCAATCATAACTCATCGCTATCTAGGCCAAAAGATCTTCAAACAGGCAATTTTTTTTACAAGTCCTTGATAACGGCTTCCAAAGACTCCTTGAAAATGTTACATGCGTCCGTCAATTCTGCCTCAGTGATAGTGAGAGGCGGGATGAACCTCAGCACATCGAATACCGAAGTGCTGAGAAGAAGCATATTACGCTTCACACACTCCTGAACGACCTTTGGTGCTATCTGTGGCTGACTTTGCGCGTGTGTTGATGCAGTATTCGAAGACTCGGATTGGAGAGCTGGGTTCGCAAACTGTACACCAACCATGAGACCCGAGCCGCGGATGTCCTCAATTAATTTTCCTGCCTTTGTTCCAGATGCCTTCAAGTCATGGAGGAAGGAGAATATCTGTTTCGAACGCGCGGCAACGTTGTCCATGATCTTCTCCTCTTGGAACACTTTGATGGTTGCTGTTGCCGCAGCACATGCGACGGCGTTACCAGCATATGTTCCACCCATTGATCCAGGCTTTTGAAGATCCATCAGCTTCTTACTGCTTGCAATTCCGGACAATGGGAAACCGTTGGCGATACCCTTGGCGAAGATGAGGATGTCTGGTCGGACTCCAGAATCTTGTACGAACCACATGTTTCCTGTGCGGCCCATACCAGACTGAACTTCATCGGCAATGAGGAGGATGCCGTGTTCGTCGCAAATCTGCCTTAGGCCGTGCATGAATTCTGGGGGCGCAGGAACGTAACCGCCCTCTCCCAGCACAGGCTCTAGGATGATAGCAGCAGTGTCCGAGGGCGAAGTTTGCTGCTGTAGGGTGAGCCTCATTTGTAGCAGTGCTTGCTTAACGAGTTCTTCTTTTGGTGTATCTGCAGAGAGGCCAAACTGGCTGTAGTATGGGAATGCTGAGGCAAACACGCCGCCCATCAATGGTCCATGACCCTCGCCGTAGATGGTTTTGGAGCGTGTCATTGAGGCAGTAGCGTTTGTTCGGCCATGGTACGATCCTTGCATGACAATGATGTTAGGCTTCTTGGTTGCAGCGCGGGCCAGCTTGACAGCTGCTTCAACTGCCTCAGCTCCAGAGTTCCAGAGAAAGACGGTATCGAGAGACTGATGCGGAAGGATTGGAATCAGCTCCTTGATGAGTGCAATTTGTGCAGCGCTGAATCCAATGTTGACTTGTGCGTGGGTGATTTTGTTGCACTGTGCAGCTGCAGCCGCGCTGACTTTGGGATGACAATGACCGAGGTTTACAACGCCAATGCCGGCTGTCATATCGAGGAGCTTGACACCCTTGTCTGTAGTGATGTATGTGCCTTTTCCATCTTCGAAAACGTGCTTAGTGAGACGGCCAATGCCTCTCGCAATGTGCTGCTCTCCAAAAGCCGCTGTGTCCATATCGGAGGATGTTGGGCGTGTTGTAGAAAACAAGCGGAGAGGTGTTCGAATTGGTTTCGCAACGACCGGTAGAAGATTGTGATGAGCTGACAAGCAAACTCTGGAAAGGACGGCGGCCTTCATTATGTAGTCTTGTGGAGAAACACTAATGAGTCTGCCTGGAATGAATGTTCTTGATAGAGGGGTCGGCTTGACACGGTTTGACGTAAGGTAAGCTAGGATCTTCTTCCGTACGTGTGGCACTAGACGCCCTACACGCGCTCATGTGATCGCTTGGACTCTCCATATTCGTCAAAGCACTCGCAGAAGCTTCTTCACTAACTCGTTCAAGAATTTGCAGGAGGCCGTCTTGCCAACAACTCAAATATGTGTTCTTCATTCGTTTGATCAAAAGCTAAAGCATGGGTCGTGATGTACAGCGATAGATTTCGGTGTTACGTAACATAGAGCCGCCGCCGGAGTTTAAGGCGCACATGTGTATGTTGCAACACATGGCAACCTGATAGGCCGTCTTAGTCTTATCATATGCCCATATCTGTGAGTAGATGTATGAAACTTCAAAGGGGTAAATAGCAGGAGTTGGTAGTCTTTGCTTTGTCAAAAACTTCTCATAGCCGTGGTCTGTCAGCCTCGGGTAACCTGCCACCAAAGATGATTACAGTCCTTGCCACTCTGGCTGATGCATGCCACATAGCTGCGGGATAATGACTCCCGCGTGGCTGCTAGCAACACCGGTGCGAGATATACGAGAGTATCCTGCTGCTCGCTCGCAAGCAGAGCCCATGGTCCCTTAGTTCATCTTCTCCACCTGTGATCGGCTATACATAGTTCTACTGGTTCGCATTCCATGGCATCACTGGATTGGATTTAGGTCCAGTGGCAGTTGTTGTGACAGAAAACTTGGTTTCCTTGATAATGTTCTTCTGGCTATCTCCATCGCTGTTGTCACAATCGTCGTTGTCGCCAAGCGTCTGAAAATTATCCATGGGAATCCCGCGCGAACGTGATGGTGGTTGCAGATGGTGAGACCCTGAATTGTATGCCCTCCCTGATGTAGCACCGGGTGTGTTCGAGCCTACGCTTACTCGGATGCGAAGGGAGAGGAGAGGGCGAAGCGCTGGGAGAGATCCGGCAATAAGGCCGATGCCTTCTTCTGTAAGAGACCAGAAGCCAATCTTTCCAGTACTGAACATGAATTCGCCGGGATCGCTATAGAGGGTGAGGTACTTGAGTCTGACAATTGTAGCTGTCGAGGCACTAAGCTCAGTTAGATAGGGCCATGTGACTGGACATTATGCAAGGGCCTTACAAAGAAGCAAGTGCGAGCATTACTGCAACCGAAGCCTTCACCCTGGTCTTCATCTGTACATTCCATAGTAGAATTGCTGGCAAGATTGAGAGACTGAAGTCTGCGGTAATCTCAATAGCCGAGTAGAACAAACTGACGTTCGTGTTGAGTTGGAGATTGCATACACCATTGGATTCTCCCCATAACGTGTTGATAGGATGGCCTGGTTGAATCAGTAAGACTTCTTCGTCGCCCCGAATCTCGCATTTACTCACAGATGTTTGCAATGCCGATACAGAACACAAGCGCAGCAACGATACAGGAGCCCATGAGAACCCATAGTCCCCATTTGAAGAAGTCTCGGGTGGCAGCAATACGTAGCAGCGCCACAGCAACACTGAGCTTGATGAACATGGCACTGACGCAATAGAAATACTCAGCAATGTAGAAGAGCTTTGTTTTAGTTAGTCACAAGACTGTCTTGTCGTCATTGGCGGATGCCTCGGATACTCACCTTTATTCCTATTGCCATGGTCGCGGGAGGCAGATCACGAGAGAATTGCCCAGACCCGTAAAAGCAACATACTATACAAAGGGCGGCAGTGACTGTGAAAAGAAGCTGAAATATCGGTGAGTAAGAGTTTGTACTGAAGGCTGGTTCTGTAGACTTACAATACCAAGCAACATCAAATAGTCGTCCATACCCCATGCTTTCCTCCATATCCTAACTCCAGCACGCAAGAAGAAAGTGACCCAGGTCAACGCCAACAATACAATAGCGCAATAGAGAAGTGCAACGCCATCACCGGCCACCGGAACGGTCGCCATGGCTGCAACTTGACGTAAATGAGCGTGAGAGAGACAGAAGACTGACAGAACCAAAGAAAAGCGGATACAAAGGAGTATGGAGCAGCTCCCCAGAAAATGTATCAACAAAGACAAACGGTTTGGGTCCGCTAATATGGTACGTAAGAGCCGTTTTGATTCCATCCTGCCCCTGTCTCCACGCGAGAGCATTTGCCCAGACAAACATGCATTGCAAAGTCGCTTCCAGGCCTGAGACGTTACTATGCCAAGCTTCGAAAATCTTTCCTAAAGTGAACCCGACTACTCTCAATATGACACTCAACTCCGGCAACTACGGCAGGACCCAGAGGTGTCCGACCGGCTAGATGGTAGCACAACGGCGTGATCTCGACCACCGAGTCGCGTAAATTAAATGCCGTATGCAACAGCTCCTTCGAAGCCATCATGATTGGCTCTTTGTATATATTCGAGTCTTCCCCTGAAGAACTTTACCATGGCTTCTCGAATATATCTCGGATTTTTCAGGGTTTGCAATGCCATTGTTTTGGGACATCAGCATGTAGATCTTATGCAATTCGCTCAATCGGGCCGTGGGCATTTACCTGCGCAGTTCCCACGCGGGCTCGGCGGTTCTGGTGCCGGAAGGACAGTTCCACCCAAGTTGCGTTCACCACCACACCTAGGGTGCACCACGAGAGACCCCTCGTAGTAAGCCAGGATATGGCTTTGAGATATCAGGATAAGAGTGAACCGTGATTACAAACGGTGCGGGAGCAGGCAGGCGACACCATGACGATGTAAAAACTGTGAACCTAACGGGCTAGCCCAGGATTCCCAGCACATGGCAAGCGGGTCGCCTCCTGCTCTGCCGTGTTAAACTGGGTCTCCGACGGCGCCACCATCCCAATCTGGACCTCTTCCTTGAAATTCTCCTACTGGTCTCTCGACTATGTTTGAGAAAACGTTTCTGGCCTCGGGGCGGCAGCGGCTTTGCTTTGCCTGTGCTTGTGCTACCCAAATCAGTCTGCTCGTGCATACACGACATGGTCCGAGTTGGTTGCATATCTTTCCTTTGATCTCCCGTTGTCTATCCTCACATCCGCTCACCTGCATCAAACACAATTATCCACAATATGGCTTCCTTTGAAATCAATGACTCCGACCTTACCGGCTTTCAGGGCAAAGTCGCCATCATAACGGGTAACTAGCGCTCCACCGAATCATAGAGTTTGAAGCCAGACACAACTAACCTCTCTGCCAGGTGGGTCTTCTGGCATTGGTCTGGCAACAGTCGAACTGCTGGTGTCTCTAGGCGCACTAGTTGTGAGCGGCGACATTCAGCCACCACCGGCGTCAAACGCCAACTGCCACTTTGTCCAAACCGACGTCAGAAACTGGGCAGACTTGACCAAGCTTTTCAAGACTGCCAAGGAGAAGCATGGCAAAATCGACTTTGTTTTTGCCAATGCCGGAATTGGCCCGCGCGCAAACTACCTGGCTCTCGAGGTCGACGAAAATGGCGACCCAATCGAGCCCAATCAAGACACAATAGACATCAACTTGGACAGTGTTGTCAAGACTGTCACGATTGCTGCTCACTACCTCAAGACTCAACCGGAAGGTGGATCCATTGTCATCATGGGGTCCAGCACGGGACTGCACCCCGTTCGCGCAGTCGACTATTGTAAGCCACACCCAACTCGCCGATCCTGTCCAGATCAACCTACTGACAGCGCCTCGCAGCTACGGCCAAAGCCGGTGTTCTAGGTTTCGGCAGGAGTTTTGCGCGCCTAGTCGAAGTAGCTGGACTACCTATTCGCGTTAACACTCTTGCCCCTTCATGGACGGCAACCCAAGTTTTGCCTGATTTGAAAAACCTACTCGCCGCCGTCTCCCATGACTGCCAGACACCTGACGTAGTAGCTCGCGCAGTTGCTTACTTGATGGTTGATAAGTCGAGGCACGGCGAGCTGATTTTTGCTAGCAACGGCAAGTACACTGAGATCCAGAACACTATTCTTGCCCCAGCATATGAACAGATTAAGGGTGATGATCTTAGTGATGACGCTGTCTTGGCCAAGGTCATGGCTCTTGCTGGTTAGAAACGCATGTCATGTCCCTGTTTTCCGATTCGCTTAGTTTACTACTCTTGAAGATACCAAATTAAAAAAAAATAACTTTGTTCAGCAAGCATGATTTAGTGCGACGCCCCGTTGCCGAAACTTAATCTCGTTGTTTAACACTAGCGCATGCATCTCACGTGCGGAGAAGAAAAAAGTAATAGTTGTACCCCACAGATAAATGAAGATACATAGTATGTAGCACCCCCTTGTATAAATATTACATTTCAATAGTACTAACAAGCGGACGGGTTAAATGACATCTCCCCTAGCTACACTAGGTACCTGCATATTCTGCAGATGCCAGTTCTCACCTGTATGTTGCAACTTTATACGCGTGCCACGCGCCTCCGACTCTACTTCATCTAAGCTCTGCATACGATTCGACGGATTCATAGCCTCTAGTAAAACGAGTGATGAAGACTTCCACAGCGGTGTATCAGCTTTACTCGAAGTAACAATGGTGGAAAAGAGGAAAAGCGTTATGGTAAGGTATATCGCCAGTGGGAGAGCCATCCAGTAGAAAGTGACGTCGAAGAATTGCTCTTTGTTCCACTCTACTCCTTTGAGGGGTACTGCATTACTCCCGGTACGAAGGCTGGTCGGCATGTTAGTACGGAGTAGATGGGAAAGGGATTAGGTGTAGCTTACGCGTTGCTCATCGAGATGGCAATGTTGTTCATCCTTTTTTCGAAGCCTCCTTCAACCGATCCGTTGCAGTGCGCTGGACTGTCTCCAAGGACATCCGTGGCAATATTTGGGGCAAATTGACCGGTAAATCCATGTTCGGTCTCGTTAGGATATATAGCAGCTGCACCGGTAAGTGATTTTGCCATCAGAAATTCCCATTCCGTGATGTCTGCATCGCCCACGCAATATTCTTCGTTGTCCTTGCCCGTAACGCAGTACCGGTATTGACTACCGTTCGAAACTCCTGGCTTTATTTGCCAGTCTAGGTCAATCTGCGTGTCGATGATCTCGGTCTGCATTGTCGAGTTATAGGCCGACTTCAGCGTTTGAAGACATAAAGTAAGGGTGCCTGAGAACCCTTGCCAGTTAGCTGCATCATTTCTCTGACCTGCCCAATCTGCTCTTGGTTTGCCGTTGTGATCGCAAGGAGGATAGTAGGCAACAAATGTGGATGAGATGTTCCGTAGGGGTTCGTGATTCGCTACACGGAAATCCGGGTCCTGCCAATCAACCTGTGTGTTCATCCAGAATGTTTCAGGTAGGTTAACGCCCGCTTGACTCCGGTCCCAGGACTCTGGACCGATAGAATACATTGGTGAATCGTCCATATCATCGAATACAGGATCTCTCATGACTCCGTCTGCTGAAAGGTCTTCAACGATAGAGCATACGGCAAGCGTTTGATACGGTGCCCAGGTGCAGGCTTCGGCTTGGCAGGATCCTATGACATCCGAAGGGCTTGAAACATCATCAAGTATACCCGCAAGTATGCCTTTAGACATGTGTGGATGATCTGACTACCATGAGCTTAACAACAGAAGTAAGTTACAGCACACTGACACATGATAGCAATTGTGGATTGGGATTCCATGTCGTATTCCGCAAAACTTGCATTGGTGGCGTCATTGACATATTGTACTGAGCGGCTTATGATGGGACCTGTAGAAGAGAAGGTACTGTTGGTACTCTTTACTTCAATTGTAACCGACTGTTGAGTAAACGGCGAAAAGCCAAGCAGTAAGATAGTCGCGATTGCTCCGACGGACACTAGATGTCTTACGTCATGAGCTTGTTAGCAATCCAGTTGCAGGCAGGCGGAGGAAGACTTACGGACGAGTGCTCAAAAGTAACATGAGACTTCCTCGGGGCCCGCGAGAAGCCTCTTCGAACCTACTGATATCGAGCGTTAAACGCTCATTACGCAGATACGACCATTTAAGTTGGCCGATGCAGGATGATACCGAAACAAGCAACGCGGATTGTGCGACCTGCGAAAGAGCGGCGATAGTGGTAGCCAAGCTGAAACCAGCGGTCCAATTCCTGAGCGGCTCATCTCTGTACACAATGAGTAGGGCGATGATTGCACCGAGCGCAGTCGTCCCTAGCAGCCATGTGGCAAGCTCCCACTTCCAGTGTCGTAATGAAGTGGATAATGGTCTTGATGGGTGATTCCGGTGCTTATCATCTTCCGTAGGAGTGGAAATTCGTGGGATCGGCTCTTTATGGACTGGCGAATATTCCATGGCTCATTAGGTCGAAGATAGTTTGTCGCAAAGACTGATGATTATACGTGTAAGAAAAGCATAAGACAGGACGAAGCTGACAAATGGGCGAGGCTACCAAATATGTACTTAATTCGTTAACACAGCCTGTCAAAACTGGGGTGGCTGTGCAAGTCACCAAGAGTCCTCTGGGGCCTCAATCTAACCTGGGGAATCGATCGATTATAAGTATTGCCTCCGTCTGCTTGCAGCAGTGGTTTCTTCTAGCTGACAGCCTATTAAGCGAGACGCCTGGCTTGCTAGCGTATGGCAAACACGTCGCACGATAGAGCTGAATTCGTGGGGGCCAGAATGAACCAACAAGAGCGCATGGCCAGCAGATATCTTGGTAGGATGCTGTGCTTGATTGGTTGGTTTCGGCTCACCGCGTTTTCTGCCACATAGAGAAGGGCGTCCGTTAAAATAAGTACCTAGAAGCAGTCCACAGGCGCGGTCGTAAATTCTCTTAGCACACTATAGTCATGCATCACAGCTATTTCTCGCTTCCCCAATCAGTACAGCGTTAAATTTATTACAGTCAAAGATGCAGATACGTTTACTGATCCCCATTCCTCAATCCTCTTTCCAAACCCCACAGTATCCCTAGATCTAAAAGGTACGTCCTAATCAACTCTGCCAATCTAGTATTCAAAACGCTCTACAGTCTGCTTCTTGGCCCTCTTCCCAACACTACCTCCTACATCCCCATCTCCACTCGCCCCCTCAATCCCCCTCTTCACCCCCCGCATAGCCGGTAAATTCTCCATATCAAAAAATTCATACCTTTCCTTCATCCTCCGCGCAACAATGCCCGGCAGCAAATTTCCACACCGATCCTCCCTAGTAAACACTTCTGGATCGTGTATCCAGATCTGATTCAACCGCTCATCCGGCTCCTTTTCGAAATCTACGCCCGACAGCGTTTGTAGGATTGCACGCACGGAGATGCCGTCTTCGGCGGCTTTGCTACCGAGGTGACAGGCGGTGATGCGTTCGATGTTTGCGAGGCGCCAGAGAAGGAGGGTTTCCGAGGGGACTTCGGATGTGGAGGCGAAGTCGCGGGGGGCGGTGGTTACGCCCTCTGGGTATCGGAGTATGGAGATGCGGGCAGGGCTGGCAGGGGCAGGGAGTGGGGTGGTTCTAGGAGAAGGTCTGCGAGCGCGTCTGCGGACGGGTTCGGGGGTGATACTGGGAGCGGGTCCAGTGAAGTTGCTGGATTCAATCGCTTTTGCGGCTTCATTTTGACTTTCGAGGGCGCGGAGGTAGGCGCCGTCTTTTGTGGGTATGCCGACGTAGTTCCAAATTTGAGAGCGGATTACGCTGCGGAGAACCTCTTTGGATGCTGGATTTGCGGGGTTCGCGGGGTTGGGTAAGTCGTTGTCGAGGATGTCTTCTTCGTCTGTTTCGATTAGACTGACGATGCGTGCTTCTTCCTCTGCTTCGTTGTCACCGATGCCTCGTCCCTCGTTCCTGTCTCCTCCACCGCTGTCATTGTCGTCATCACCCCCACTAGGACTCTTTCCTCTTCCTCCTCCTCCTCCTCCACTAGAGCCGCATCCACCGCTTCCACCATTACCACGACTACTACTACCCCCATTCCTTCGCCCCCATCCCCTCCTCCTCTTCCCACCCCCAAACTTATAATCGTCAAAATCCACCTTATCCCTCATCCCCTCCCACTCCCTCCACTTCGCCGCCACCAGCGTCCCAAGAACCTTGGGCTTCAAAATTCCATACACCTCCTTCTCCATCTTCAACGGCGGCTCCTTCTCCCCGCTTAACTTCTCACTCTTCTTCTGAATAATCTCCTGCATATGCACTCTCGTTTTCAACGAATCAAACGCCATAACCTCACAATTCCTCTTCCAAGTCTCCACTTTGAAAACATTATCGACATTCGCAAGGCGCCCGTTCTTACTCAGTACGTACTCCAGAAACGCAATAAGATATGGTCCGCAACTCGCACCGCCATCGCTCTTGAAAGCATTATGCTCTGATTGATTAGGAACGTATTTGATAGTCTTGGTATGGAATGCTCCATGCTCGAGTCCCAGCACACGTTCGACACCGCGGACCATGGTTGCAGCCACGGCACCAGCTACAAACATATGGTTGATCTTCATTCTACCGGGCTTATTTTCGCTGGGTGTAAGAGTGAGGTTGCCATCTATCCAGCGCGCAGTCTTCTTGCGCTTGTCGATGATAAGGAGACCGCAGTGGCCACCACTTGCCATCATATCCTTGGATGCCGCATCATTGCCTCTGCTTCCGTTCTTGCCCTGCTCCTGGCCCATCGCTCTGGATAGCTCCATGAAATCTTCTTTCTGCAATTTCTGTTCGTTGACAGGTACAATGATCCACCTGTGCTTTCTATCCCGCACGGGTTTCAGTGCGTCGCCGTTGAAGCTCTCGTCGGGGTTCTCGTCAAACACGTACTCGGCGTCGTGACCGCCAATGTCGTACAATATACCGCCCTGATACATTGGTAAGATGTAGACATCGTTGCGGTGATACTTGAGGGTTAGCAAGGCGAGGACGGTGTCAATACTGTTGGATTCGAGCCAGTGTGCAGGATCATCGGGATTGGTGGTGGTGATGTTGAGGTACTCGCGGACTTGGATTTGGCGGGCGAAGTTATTGTAACTGAATTCGAGGAGGGGTTCTTTGAGCCAGGTGTGGATGTGGTCGGTGTCTATTTGGGTGGTGGGGGAGTCTTGAGTATTTTCTGCCATTTTTGCTGGATATTAGGAAGGAGGTTACTTCGAGTCAAATGGATCTTGGGGAGTGGCGGAGAAGTTGGGTAATCAGTATGGATTGGGACAAAGGTGATACTTTACTCGGGGACAATACACCAAAGAAACAGATAAAGGGGCTTTTGTTCCTTTGTTAAAGACGAAGATGCACATCACGTTGGACTTGTTACGTTGAAATTCTTTGTCCAGGGACTCGACACTGTTATCTGGTTGGAAAAAGTAGAACAACTAAATTTGAGAATTGAGCGTCTTGATCAGTCCCGTTGATACCAGACTATGTGATGTGACAAGTGACGCTCTTAACCATGACCCAATATCAAAATCAAAATCAAAATGTAACCCCATCGTAACGCCTCAACCCATCATGGCCAGCTCTTCCCTCATTCAGACCACATCATGACTCCCTCCCCTCGTCTTACATTACCACATTCCGAGGATCAGTAAAAGGATTCGCACTCTCCTCTTTCCGCTCCGCCGCACTGTGTTGACGAGGAAGCCGGGAGCTGATCGAGAAAGCAGCAGGAAGCGGTGCACTAGGACCATTCGACACAGAATTGTGTCCATCAGCAGCATTTCCACTCGCAATAGGTCCCCTCGAAGGAGCAAGATTCTGCAGTCCAATCGGGCGCTCTCGATCAAATCGATTCATGCGCGCAGCAAAAAGCCCCATGAAAAAATACCCAATCATCCTGTGATACTGTCAGCCATTCTTTCTCCCTTCTTCCAACAATATATATCAAAATGTCCAGAAAAAAAGATTAAAACTTACGTGCAAGCCCCCATAACCCCAACAACCGCCCCACAAACCACAACACTCCTCGCCCACCACCCCCAATCCCCCAACGCACGCATCACCCCATCATCTTTCCAGCAAGTCTTATATTCCCGATTGACCTCAGCCCCAGGAAATACATCCAGCAAATACATGCCCACCACATTAACCATAAAATGCACACCCAGCAGCACCGAAAGCCCCATGGCACACCGATTCGTCACATGCGCACAGACAAGATGGAGGCGAAGATAACAAGCCAGAAGAACAGCCAGAAAGATGGGGTTAACGATGAGAGCCGCGACGATCGCACTGAAATTTCTCTCGTTAGCCTTGTACTCCCTTTCTCTTCCTAAACGCCACACCTCCAGTCGTATAAAACCGTAGTCCGTAAACCATAAACCCGTAAAGTTGCTCGGAATGTTAAGAAGGGGAAAAAAAAGAGAAAGGAAAAAGTATGTGTGTGTGTGAGAAAGAGAGAGAGAGAGAGAGAAAGAGAGAAGAAGAACTCACAATTTCCCTCCGCCTCCCCCCGGAACCCCCAAACTCAACCACATCCCCCCACCCACCCCCTCTTCCCTCCCCTCCAACCGATCCAAATTCACAAACGTAACCGGTAACCTCCTCGTTCGCACCACCAACGCATCCACACTACTCCCTCCACCACCAATACCACCTCGTTGAACCCCACCCCCAGCAACAACATCATCATCAACGTCCCAACACTCAACCTCCAATCGCATACTCAACAACTTATGAGCAAAAGCAGCGCAGAGACCAAGTTGAGTGGCTGCGAGCAGGACGGCGAGGGAGAGCAGCTTGATTGTTGTGCGGTGGGTGGGGCCGGGCCAGGAGGGCGAGGTGGCGGTGGTGAGGAAGGAGGTGCAGGTGCGGAGGGTGTGGGTGGGGGATCTGTGGGCCATTTCGTTTTTATTTTCGAAGAAGAGAGATCTTGATGAGAAGTGGGAGGGGGGGTTTTTTTGAAGAAGAAGAAGAAGAGGAAAAGTTGATCAAGTCCCGGAATGGCTTTTGGAGGGGGGGATTTAAGCTGGGGGGATATGTATTTGAAGTGAGGATGGGGGAAAGACAGGTTACGTTTTACGTCTCTTTTGCCCTTTGCATATGGTGGTAAGTGGGTGTGGTGGGTACCATGGGTGTTGTGTTGTCGATATGGTGGATGTTGGGGTAAAAGGGTCTATAGGGATAAGCATCTGATTCGACTATCATCTATGTTGGTTGACATAACCAGCGAAAAAAAAGGCCAACAGGGTTGAATGACAACAACAACATGACACATGATTGAATTAGCAAAGAGGAACGTATAATTAAGGGGGGGAGGTATCAACTTGAATTTCAACTACATAAAAACATTGGGCTCGGGTGTGTGGTGTGTGGGGGGTTGCATGTTTAGACACTAAGGAGGGGAACAAAAGAGGCTCATAACATTGAAAACGAGATTTGATCGTAACCAAGAAGGCATGCCATTTTCACATGCGGCTGCGATAGGGTCGAGGAACAGGTGGCTGGAACAGCCTATCCGGCAAGCGGTTCCCATACTGATCGAAGCGGTAGTCCTCCTTTTGTTCAATCCACATCTGCCGCGTGTCAGCCTCGAGCTGACATCTAGAGCTTGCTACCGTAGCGGGGAGGGTAGCTAGCCTTGTAACCACTCACCTCGCGTTCGGCGTACTTCCTGTCCAACGGCACTGGTTGCGGATTTAGTATTTCTTCGTCGCCAAAGCCTGGATCTCCTTTGAACCTACGGGCGTAGTGGGCTGCGCCAATAGGCTGAGGGGCACCGTATTCGGCATACTGTGCTCCGTAGGGGCCGTACTGACCTGGGCGTTGGTTGCGGGCGCTGCTTTGGTGCCAAGTGTCGCGCTCGGGAAGACGTTCCTCAAAGGCTTCGGCGGGACGGCCTAGGGGCTCCGGGTACAGGCGGTTCTGCTGGTACGTCTCGCGCGTCTCAATGGGATACTGGGAGCGGTAGTGGTCCTGCTGCTCGAAGCGCTCGTCGTAGTGGGACTCGTAGCGGGGCTCACGGCCGTGGTGTTCCCAGTGGGCATCGTGGTGGTGAGGAGGAGGGGGAGGACCACGGCCGCGGTCATCGTAGTGCTGGGGGCCACGCTCGCGTTCATCGACATAGACCTCACGGTGTTCCTGGTAGTGGGCAGGCGGCTGGTGGTCGCGCTCAACCCAGACATCACGGTGTTCCTCAACGCGCCTGGGAGCACCAGCATTCTGCTCAATGTAGATGTCCCGGTCAATGTGCGTCGTGTGGGTAGTGTGGTGGGCATGAGCGGGAGCAGGAGCAGGAGCATGGGCGGGAGCAGGAGGTGGAGGAGGAGGAGCCTCTTGATGAATTTCAATGTCGATGTGCGTCTCCTCCTTCTTCTCCTTGTCTTTCTTGGAATGCTTGGGCTTGTGGGGCTCTTCAATGGGCTCGAGAGTGGTCAAGTAGCCGAGGACCTCGCGAAGACTGTTGTGGGCAATTGCGAGTTCCTTTTCTCTGTTCTCGAGCTTTTCCTTCTCGCTGAGCAGCCAGTAAACACGGTGCCTCATGCCGACACGGCGGCCGTCCTCAATGTCGCCAGCGACGCGTTCAGTATGGGGCGCAATGTTCTCGAGGGCGCCGCGCACATCGCGCATGCAGCCGTAGACCCATTTGGACTTTTCGTGGTTGGCCTCGAGGATGTCGTGGATTTCGCGGACCGAGAGCAGACGGCGCACCTCCTCGAGATCAGAGCGGACGCGACCGATGATGCGCACGTAGACGGCGTTGGATGGACCGACATCACGAACCCGCTTGGCCTTTGTGAGGAATTCGGCGAGCTTGTAGGCGCCTCCGAGAGCGGTGGCAGCCGCGCCGAGGGTGACGAGCTCTCCTTTGACCATGGTGAACAGCAGGACAGGGCGAGGAAGCTACCGGGTTGGGGTGGTGAGAGATCAATGGAGTGAAGGAGTGCCTGCGTCTCTGCGGGTACCTAGCGCCAGCATGCCGCGCAGGTTCAACCGGCAGCAAGAAGTGGGGATGGGCGCTTTGGTGCGTGTGTGTGGTTGTGGTGGTGGAAAGTTGGGGGAGTGTCAGTTCAGCTCAGCTCAGGGCAGGGCAGGGCAGGGCAGGGCAGGACAGGCCAGCTCCGACAGGGGCCGCGCGCTGGAGCTTTGGGGGGCTGGGGTTCTAGTCTGTTTAGGGCCATAGCCGCCTGCACCTCATCACCCAGAGCGACCAGCCCGAGGTCTAACCACCAGCCTTGCAACTGCTGTCCAACCCCACCGAACCGCTCGCCCTCCATCTTCTGCCCCCAGCGGTGCCACCGCCATCCACTGCAGCCAGCACGCGCGCCGGGCTGCATGGGCTCGGTAATTGACGCGTGCAAGCCGGTGATTTGGTGTGGCTGTGGTGGTGGTGGTGGTGGTGGTGGCAGTTGTTGTGGCCGTTGTTATACGAGCGCCTGTTGTTGTTGTTGTTATTGTTGACGCATCCTCCACCTCCTCGTCCTGGCTGGCTGATACACACGCTTGGATCATCCCCGTTGCGCCTGTCCTGTCAGCTCCACCCTGTCAATGACAACACAACACTACCCAACGCCAAAACCTTGATTTCTGCTATCTGCCGTACTTTGCAACAAATGCCCGAACCTTGGCGTCGCTCAGGCTTAGCTCGTTGCCTTCTGCCTCTAGCAGCTCCCGGTCCTTGTCCTCGAGCTCCGCCTCCATCTTCTTCACCTGTGCATCTACTTTGCCATTAGTCAGCCTGATCGTCCCGAACGGTGCGTGCTTGTATAGAGCGGCCATGATGACATCCATGTCACTGTCCGCTTTGCTCGACTGCTCCGCCAGCTTCTCGTGCGTGCTCATTGCCGAAGATTCATAGTGCTCCTGCAGCTTCTTGCCGCGTTCCATCTGAGCCTGCATCAGCGAGTCCTGCAGGCTCTCAATCTTGTCGTGGTTGAACGAGATGCCGGCGTGTCGAAGCGCATCTTGCAGCGCTACCGGCAGATCGAGTGCATTGTTGGGCCTGAGCTTGACCATGGGCGTGAAGGCTGCCACGGACGATTTCGCTCGTTTGTGTGCAGGTGTCGGTGCAGGTGCCGCATCCATGTCGGGCATGCGCTTTGCTGCTGCGGCTTGTACGTGTGCCAGTGCTTGTTGGAATTCGTCGTCTTGTTTTGTCTTTGCTGCAACGGTATCCAGCCGTCTGCCCATGTATTCAAGCGTGGACAAGACCTGGCAGCGTTAGTGACTCCCAGCCACAGCCCAAAATGGCACTTACGTAGTTGAGCCATGCAGTTCGCGCCTGCCTCATATCCCTGTCCTTGCGTTCCTTAACATCCGTCATTGGCTTGCGAATCTCGTGCTCAACAACCATGGTCGCGACAGAAGCAATTTCTGAATGCAGTTCCTCAAGTTCGGCTTGCAACGCCGCTTTCCTTTCCTTGAACTCCGCCTCTGGTTCATCAGAAGTCCCGTTCTGCCCACCTCGACCGGCGTGGGTCAGGTAGATGGTGTCTACGCGCGCCTTGATTTCAGCAGTGCGGAAGGAAATAATCGCCTTGCACCACTGCTCAATCGACCTTTCATCTTCGCTGACTTCTGGCTCCGTCATGATCTGGGATACTAGTCCAGGCAGCTTGCTCAGAATTTGGTCGTCGGATGCAAAGCGTTCCGACAGGTAGCTCTTTAGCGTAGACTTGTCGGCCTCGCTCTCTCGCTGTGCATCCGCCAACTGCTCAGTAATTGATGTAGCAACATCATCAACCTACATTGATCAGTACAGGGCCATTTCCCCTCAAGCGGCAGCTTACAGAAACATCCAACCTTGCCCTCTCTTGACCCTCTTTCCTCTTCCTCTCGTTTCGTGCATGTTCAACATCCAGGTTAGGCTTGTCAAGCGCCTTCAGCTTCATCAACGCATCCTTTTGCGCCTCGAGCACCTTGCACTGTGCCTCAATTGCACTAGTCGAGCTCTGCAGAGATTCAATAGCTGAGGCGATTTCGTGGTCCAGGATGGGTCTCGAGGGTCCACCCTCGCCCTCATACTGATGCAACAGCCCCTTTTTCTTCAGTGTCTGGTACCTAGACTTCAGATTAGTAAATACTGCGTAAATCCATTGTCACACCTACAGCTCCAACTCCTCCCTGGTCAGTAAAGTGTCTTGGTGTAGGTATTCCTCGATCCATGCCGCAGCTTTGTGATTTGTATCTGCATCTTCGAAGCTCAGGAGGATTTTGTCCAAATCAACTTTTAGACCTCTTTCCTCTACTACGTTCAGCAGGTGGTGAGCAGCTTGCTCCTCCATGGCTCTAGGTTGTGTAGTGCTGGTCGTTGTGTGACAAGGTGCGAAAGCAGTTAGGCCGGCTACGTTCGATACAGCCGGCGGAAGTGACCAATCGCGCAGTCGCGTTTTCGAGATTTCGACGCGCTCAATGACCGCATTCTAAATGTACAAAGAGACATTTTACAATCCCTCATACCAAACCCACCTATTCCACTTCTAGTCACAATGACTGCCACAGCGATTGACCCCGAAACAAGATCCCAAACCCAAAAAGACACCGAAACTCAAAACCCCCCTCCACCACCCAGCAACCCCGCGCACGAAGAGCACCAATACCTCTCCCTCATCCGCGACATTCTCCAAAATGGCGAGCACCGTCCCGACCGTACTGGCACCGGCACCTACGCCATCCCCTTCCCCGCCCAAATGAAATTCGCCCTCTCACGCCCCTCCGCCGACCCTACCCAACCACCCACCCTCGTCCTGCCCCTCCTCACCACCAAGCGCGTCTTCCTGCGTGCCGTCATCGGCGAACTCCTATGGTTCATAGCCGGCAGCACACACAGCAAGCCCTTATCAGACGCCGGCATCAAGATCTGGGACGGCAACGGCAGCCGCGCCTACCTCGACAGCGTCGGCCTCTCACACTACGAAGAAGGCGAACTCGGCCCTGTCTACGGCTTCCAATGGCGCCATTTCGGCGCAGAGTACAAAGGCCACGCACACGACTACACGGGTGAAGGCGTTGATCAACTTGCCGAGATTATCGATAAACTGAAGAATAAACCGTATGACAGAAGGATTATTCTGAGTGCCTGGAACCCCGCTGATATCAAGAAAATGGCCCTGCCGCCTTGCCACATGTTTGCTCAGTTCTACGTTAGTTTCCCTGGACACAAGCAGGGAGAGGAGCGGCCGAGGGGAGTATTGCATTCGCTGCTGTACCAGCGCTCTTGCGATATGGGACTCGGTGTCCCGTTTAATATCGCATCCTATGCGTTGCTAACGCATATGCTGTCGCATGTGTGCGATTTGACACCAGGAACTTTTACGCATACGATGGGGGATGCCCACGTGTATCTTGATCATGTGGATGCGCTCAAGGTGCAGGTTGAGCGGGAGCCAAGAGAATTTCCCGAATTGAGGATTAAGAGGGATGTCGGCGGGAGTATAGATGGGTGGCTGGAAAGTGACTTTGAGGTTATGGGGTATAAACCGCATGCCAGTCTTGCTATGAAGATGAGTGTGTAGGTTTCGTTTTGGTCTGAATACTATGAAGAATGGTGTGGAGTTATAGATGGGTATATAGATATGAGTTATGTAATTGACGTTATGTTAATTCTTCCTTTCTTTTCCTCCTCCTTCAAAAAAGAAGTTCATCCACTTCAGTCTTACAAAAAAATGCCATGCATACCACACGTACATATAAGAAAACCAGACGAACCAAACGCTTCACAAATGCCAGCAAAAAAAATCATCAAGGTATCATATCTCCCCTTTTGCTCCCCTTCCCTTCCCCAAATAAAAAAAAACTTCCTCATAAAAACTATTACACGAATCATAAAAAACCCACCCTCAGTCCCCAACTCGCACTACCTACGGCAACTCCTGCGCCTCACTCGCATTATGCGCATACTTGATACTCCCCGGCAACTCATTCGTCTGACCAGGCGTATACATCTCAGCTCTGCCCCCCTGTGCTCCATCCTGACGATAATAGCTCTGCTCCGCATCATGCACAGGCACAGACCCATACGCCGCATTCTGAGCATCTTTCTCAACCGCACCTTCCTTGCTGGCTTTACGTTTGCGCCACCAAAAGACTGCGAAGATGAGGGCGGCGAGGACGGCAATGCCGCCAACGACGGGGCCGGCGATCCAGGCTTTGCTTCCTCCACTGCTGGAGGAGGAAGAGGAAGAAGAGGGGTTAGAGGAGGAAGAAGAAGAAGGGGAAGAAGAGTTTGAAGGTGAAGAGGAAGGGACGTCGCTGTCTGCGAGAACGGCGTAGGTGGAGGTGGAGAGGTCGGAGATTATGCTTGACGTATTTTGGAGGTAGCAGTTGTTGTAGCCGCTGTCGAGGGTCGAGGAGAATAAGACGGCTTTGCAGCCTTTGTCGCTTGCGGCGCAGGCATCGATGCAAGCAGTCATGTTGTGCGTGTGGAGGTTCGTGATGTTGCGTCCGGGATTCGTCTTGCCACAGTGAATGTCGAAACGCGGTTTGTCGCCGGCCGTGGCTTGATATGTATTTTGCTCTGGGCACTTTGTGTCTGGGATGTCGAATTCGACGATTTCGGCGGCGTGGATGACGCCTTGTTTTGCCGTAGGACTGATGAATTTGGGTGAGTTGCCGTATTTGGGCTTGCAGTTTGCGTAACCGGCGGTGAGATCTGGGTTCCAGGATACGGCGCGGCAGAGGGGGTGTAGGCCGGTGCAGATTTTAAGGCATTCTTCGAGGGTTTCGGTGTGGTAAAAGGCGCGGTAGTCCGAGTCGAAGCAGTCGAATTCTTCGAAACAGCGTGGTGGCTCGTCAATTACTTTGCCGCAGTGTGTCGTGTATGTTATGCCCTCGACGCCTGGAAGAGGCTTGTCCGACAAGTCTGCATTTGGGCACTTGGTGTCGTAACCTTTCATCTGGTTCCTGTCGATGAGAAGAGCGGTTATTGCTTCTGGTGCGGGTGTAAGGGCTTCGGTGGAAACATTGCTCGTTTTCAGCCAGCAGTGGTTGCCGGGTACAGTCCAGGTCATACCATAACACGCATCGCCTGAGAAGCGCGAGCAGTGTTCCATACATTCATCCCAAGTCGCAGTATAAAACCAGACTCCCGCCCCGGTTGTTTCTCTAACTGCGTCTACCGTCTGTCAGCCAAAGACCCTGTCGAAAGACATGACACATTCTGGTGCTCACCGCTCAGAGGGGCATTCTGCTGGCAGTATAGTTTGAATGCGAGTCCATTCTTCGTTGTGTAGTTTTCTGCGCAGTTTTCAATGGTGTCTTGCCGTATTGCGAGGTCGCGAGTGAGAACGGCATCCGCCTGTGTGGAAGCTGGTAGCGCGTCAGTATACGAATTATTTGCCAAAATATCCAACAACAATCCCACGTACGTGTAGGAGTCGCAATGACGGCGCTTGCGCATGCGAGCGCCAGTAAGCTCTGTCTCGCCAGGATCAACATGCCGTAAAGATCTGACTTTTTGTAGCGTTCTCGACGACGACGACGACAACGACGGTACCGAGAGATTGAGACAGCGAAATCCCAAACCACGCGCAACCGCGAGCTTAGAGACAGTCCGGGAGATAGTTTTACAGGCCCTACACCAAGAGGAGGGCAGTGCTGCCTCATCCAAGCAGCACGATGACAACCAGGCCCGTTAGGCGTCCATTGGTGGGTACAACGCCCATAACGGCCCCCAACCCAGAGCCGCCGTCGTCCCGACACTGCCCCCAAATTTATATTGCAAACATATGCCCTTACTCATGCGCAGCCGTCTCAGCCAATACATCGTGCAGGGTGTCGGGTCTTCCGACCTGGCGCTGTTGAGTTCGCAACCTGCATCGCCCTATTGCATCCACGTCGTCCCTGAACTTGCACATAGTGGCTACGGCTTGTTCCGAGATGCTGTCATTCGTTTCCCTCCTCTAGTTTTTCCATGGCTCTGTCTGTTTTTCCCTAGGATTTGCACTGTCAGACACGAAAATGACCAGGGTTTTGCGGTGTGCATATCCTGTCCGTTCTAGGGAGATTGGTGTGGTGCTGCCAAGACACGCTGGCAGGCGGAGCAGTCCTATCCTTGTCGTCCACCTCAACTGCGACTCGGAATAGAGCTAGACGATAGCCGTGGTCCGATCACGCTTCCCGTCGCCTTGTTCCCGTGTTAAGCATGCTGGAAAGTTACATGAAGAGGCTTCAACTACAGAAAGGATTGAATCACGTGCATACGGGCAACTACGACACCTAGGCGCTTGCCATAAATGGTGTACACAAATACTACTCTGAATTTGACAACAAAGGGTTGGATTACCACGCTGCTTTTGCAGACAACGACTTGGTATCTAATGCATCCTGAACGCCCGCCATTATTTTTCCCAGCCTGCAAACCAATAATGCAACAACGCTGAACATTGCAAGTCTGCTTATCGGTGGCTGGTCTTTCCAATACCACGCTTGCCGGCAGTCTAGACTGTTGTTAGTAGATGCTCTTGTACTCTCAGATAAATCACAACTTACCAAGTGCTTGATCAGAGAGCCAGTCTGGTGCCTGTCGGCCTCACCCTGTCTGGCCATCCTGTTCATCTTCTTCTGTGACAACTTGGCCAGCTTCTCCGCCTTTGAAGCAGCCTCGGCATCCGTAACACCGTCGTTCCTCCTGTTGGTACTCTGGCTGCGACCACGGCTCTTCGCACGCTCAAGCGCAGACTTGGGTGTATCGATATCCATGGCATCACCGGGAGCCTCTGATCGTGAACGAGCCAAGCTGCGTCCTCGTGCTTCTGCTTGAGCCGTTGCACGCTCGACAACCTTTGTAGTGTCGTATCCAAGACTCTCGAGATGCGATTCCATTTGCGACATTTGCTTCGCCTTCTTTGTCCTGGGAATAATAGCCCTGTTCTTCAAACTCTTGCGCATCTTGGCTTCGTTCCTGATGAGTTGCCGCTTCTCGCGGATCAGCTCTGCCTTGTACCGGAAGTCTGCCTCCTCTGCGTCTTCAAGATCGTCGTCCGAGTCGTAGAAACCCTCCTCCTCCAACTTTTCTTCTTCAGCCTCGAGCGCGGCAAGCTTAGCCTCAATGTCAGGGTCGATGAAGTCGTAGACGTTCTGGCCCTTGAACACCTCGGGAATACGGTCATGTTTCCATTCATCATTCTCAAGAAGATAGTTCTTGCGAAGATCAATGTTGTACACACCAGCTCCGCCATTCTCCTCTTCCAGATCACGTTCTAGGATTGGCCTATCAGGATCATCCTTGTCGTACTTCTTCTTGTTGAGTGCTGCATCTGGGATAAAGGTCTCGCGTGTTACACCACCCAATGGCTGAGCAACGTGGATTCGGCGCAACAGTTCACCAAGACGGCCAGATGGCTCACCAGCACTGTTAGTTCCAGCCTTGAGCTTCTCTGCGTTACGAGCAGCAATCAAACGATCGCAGACTGCATTTCGCACAGCCATGACACCCTCGGTAGTACTGCAAGAAAGCTCCAGCATCTCTACCTCACCCGACTTGAGCATGCCCTGTAGTTGAGCCTGTGTTTCGGCATCAAGCTGGTCGGGACGCATAAGATCGATCTTGTTGATGACAATGGAGATGAGTTTGTTCGCGAACAGAGGCTTGATGTTGTTGAAGAGGGCGATTTGCGAAGCAACCGAGTAACCACACTGCTCACTGAGATCCATAAAGTAGAGAATGTGGGCGCGGAGATGAGCAATGGCGCAGATGGACTGATGTTCGATAGTGTTCATCTCCTCAAGTGCATGGTCCAGAATACCAGGAGTGTCAACCGCTTGGAAGCGAAGCATCTTGTAGTCGAAATGACCGACATACAAGCTCTTGGTAGTGAAAGCATATGGCTGGACCTCGACATCGGCCCTAGAAATGGACTTCAAGAAGGACGACTTGCCGACGTTGGGGAATCCAGAAATGACGAGTGTACGGGTGTTGGGGTCGATCGAGGGAAGACGACCCAAATGCTGCCTAACTTGTTCGAGGTAGACAAGAGGATCCTTCAATCGCTTGCAGATTGTGGCCATACGACCAAGCGCAGCCCGCTTAAGCTGTTTGCACTGGAAAAGAGACTGGCCGTATTTGAGAAGACGCACATAGTCACGCGCAACCGTCTCAATTAACGACTTTGCAGTCGAGAGCTGACCAAGAGCAATGCGGAAGTGATCCGCATCGTAGAGGGTGTTCAAGAGATCGCGGTGGAACGGGTGGATGTCCGCCAGGCGCGGAAATGCGTCGATGGTGGTGGTGAGGCGCTCGACGAATGTCTCGGATGTGAATTTGACCTTTCGTGTATAGAAGGCTCGAATTCTGCTAATCTTGAAACCCGCACGGATCTGAGTGGGCAGTCTAAGGAAATTTTCGTCAGCTGTCTGCTCTTCGGTGTAGTATGTAGCTGGCGCCTTGAAAGCGCAAATCTCGGCGCACGGGTGTGGTTTGCGCAGATGCAGATGGGATGGGTAACCTACCTCCTCTGGGTCCTGGACAGTACAATGTCCAGGAACTCCTGGCTCGTAGGCACGGCGGGAATGTCCTTCCACTGGGTCTTCATTTTGGCGACTGCGGGTTTGTTGGGGTTGTGGACGCGGTCTGCGCTTCGAGAGGGAAGGGCTGGCAAAAAGTTCGAGGCGCTACCTATCGATACCAAAAAATATTCCCCACCGCCAAGCGGCAGTTCGCCTCATGTGCGCTAGTGCCGCATTCAGACACCCACCAACCATTGCGGCCCTAGGGACCCTGATTGTCGTGTCGGACATGCAAGCATTATGTGTAATGATATGTACATTGGAACTCAATTTGTTTTCTCCTTGTTCAGCCCAAGATTTGAAAATGAGCATCTACAGGGTTCTTCCCATTGATGGCCAGAACATCTTGAGGACATGCACTCATCACCACAACTACATCCCGCAGCGCCTCCAAAACTACGTAATCGCCTGGCTTTGTCTTTGGCTCTTCAAAGCTCACGCCCCGCTTGGCACCCTCACCCTCCTTTGTGATGGGAATGTTCATGAACAAGTTGAAAGGATCAGGCACCCTGCTTCCCAACTTCCCCTGCAACATTTCCAGGCCCTTTTTCTCTTCACCTGAAAGAGATGATGAGGTAGAAAGAGAGTACAGGGAGTCCCAGAAGTTGTCTGTACAGCTTTCATGGTATTCATTGACACCCAGCTCGCTGTACCGCCACCTATCGCACGCCGCAATCAAAGTATCATGTACACCAGGGCTTGTGTCCTCTACCAGCTTTACCATTGGCGCCCTTTTTTGACTAACCATCACATCACCCACTTCAGGTGTAACTTTTAGCAACGTTGCGCGGCAGTGGCACATAGACATGTATTCAGGCGCACTGGCGGCGGCATTGGCAACGGGTGAGTATTTGGTCGGTGAGTCGGCGGTTGCGTTTGGGTAAAGTGCCGCTTCGACCTTGGAAGACGCGGTCGTGAGGGCTGAAGAGGGAAGCGCGAGTGCCCAGGTATCGACTACTTGGTTTCCGTGGGTATTGGTTATCTTAATCTTCTTGCCGGCTTTGACTACCGTTGCTGCTCCACGGCGGGCGGGGACGGTCTGGATTGGAGGAGACATAGCAGATACTTGACTTGTAGTTCCTGAAATCGACTGATCTTGGACGAGGACTTTGGGAGGTTAGATAGGAGTAGGGGACCGTAGCATGCCAATGCCTGAGATATATGTTCACGTCTACCCCACTTGTGTTGCCATATCATATGCCGTGGGACGGGTAGATAGGAAGATAGGTTGCGGGGCTGCAATCCTGCACTGAACATATCAGTTCAAGATAGGCGGATTTGTCACAGCCTCAAGCAAGATTGACTATTCTGCGTATTTATACCATTTTGCGGGAAGCGCGCGTACCCAGCAGAAGTATACTATGAGGTTACTATCGGAGATGCGGCAAGGTGCCCAGTGTCTTGGTCAGCGCAGAGATGATTCTGGTATACATAGCAGACAAGTGATCGTCGAAAGGCAGTATTACTGGGGTTTGCGGTGTGTTGAACAAGGTGTAGTACTAGGTCGTGGCTTGAAAGGTACCCAAATCATCACGTGTCAGGGATGTGGCCTGGGGCATCCTTCGAACGGCCACCCTAGCATTCCCGAGCGCCGCAACCCAATTTATCCCCACCACAGCTCGACTCCTTTACCGCCAACCTAAATCGTTTCTGCCCAGTATTCACCATGGCTGCCCTCGCGACTAAAACACAGTCGCAAAACATCTTTACCAAATTGAAGTCAAAGCCCGCCAACAAAGTACGTATTCACACCAGTCAGCGCTTCCAACGACTCCTAATCCATGTCTAGATATGCTTCGACTGCGGCGCAAAGAACCCAACATGGAGCTCTGTGCCCTTTGGCATTTACCTCTGCCTCGACTGTTCGTCTAACCACCGTAACATGGGTGTCCATATCTCGTTCGTTCGTTCCACCAACCTCGACAGTACGTCTTCCCCTGGGCCCTGCGGGCGCTTGAAGCAAGGATATATATATTGATCAAGGACAGTCTGGCAATGGGATCAACTGCGAATCATGAAGGTCGGCGGAAACGAGAGCGCGACCAAGTATTTTCAATCGCACGGAGGTTCCGCTGCGCTCGCGAGCAAAGATCACAAAGCCAAATATACTAGCAATGCCGCCAACAAGTACAAGGAGGAGCTGGCTCGACGCTGCGCTGCAGACGCCAAATTGTAAGTCTACATCGAATTGTACAGCGGCATAAACTAACTATCTTGTGCCAGGTATCCTAACGAAGTTGTAATCACCGATGTCGTCGAACCTGGTAGCGACGGAACCAACACCCCAGCCGGTGAAGACGATGACTTCTTTTCCTCTTGGGATAAGCCGACAATCAAGCGTCCCTCAAACCCACCCTCGCGTACCGGTACACCCAAGGCTGCATCGCCTTTCCTCAAGCCTGGCGCCAACGGCACGGATCGCCCGAAATCGCCCCTCGCTGGCAGCTCCGAAACCACTACGCCAGCAGCGAAGCCTGCCGCAGTACGAAAGACCACCGGGGGTGCTGCACCAAAGAAGAATATTTTGGGTGCAAAGAAGAAGGGTCTTGGCGCAAAGAAGGTGGTCGCTGCCGATGGTGGACTCGACTTTGAAGAGGCGGAGCGAAAGGCTCGTGAGGAGGCAGAGCGCATCGAGAAGCTGGGCTACGACCCTGACGCTGAGGCCGCAGAGGTCGCTGCAGCCACCAAGTCTAAGGGTTCCGAAGCATCTATCATCGCACCTACTCCCGTATCACCACCGCGTGGTGGATTCGGCTCGACCTCCAAGCCTGAGCGCTCAAGTCAGGATATGGAACGGCTAGGTATGGGCGTTCAGCGTCTAGGATTCGGACAAGTAGGCGCTGCGAAGAAGCCTGTTGCCCAGAAGAAGATGGGAGGTTTCGGCAGCGTAGGAAAGCCCGCTCAAGATGATGATGAGAAGTATGCACGGGAGAAATTTGGTACACAGAAGGGTATCTCAAGTGACGAATTCTTTGGCCGCAATGCGTACGATCCTTCAGCCACTGCACAAGCGAAGGAGAGGTTACAAGGTAAGAGCAGTTTTACGATATTGAATATTGTGATTCTGTTTTCTAACTCGTCTTACAGGCTTCGAAGGCGCGAGCGCGATTTCATCCAACGCATACTTTGGCCGCCCTGAGGACGATGCTGCAGAGGAGGACTATGGTGATCTGGAGACTGCCGCCAAGGACTTTGTCCGCAAGTTTGGTCTGACCGCTGGTGATGACCTCGAAAACCTGACCAACATGCTCGGCGAAGGTGCGACAAGGTTGCAAGGAGCCGTCCGGAACTACCTCAACTCGTAGAATAGGCGTTGAAAAGGGTTGGTTGGGGCGTTCTCAGTGGGTGTTCGAGGAGTCAGGTGGACACATTCGATACCATACAGATCACGCACATTGTATGGCAGCAGCAACATAGTCTCGGCGCATGATGTATAAGAAGATGGGTCCTGGGAGAGGCGAAAACCATGAGTTGGCGGGGTTTACTTGGATTCGATTGTGTACGTATTGATCTTTTCCGCGTTGAAGATGGTGACCGGGGGTATGGTCCAAGTGGTGTTTTGGGAGTACACATAAAGTAACGTTGGAAATCTTGATTGGAAATCTGAATAATCTTGACCATTCCCTTTCTCCATTAACACCAAAAAACGACAATGCAGAAAAGCAAACTGTATCGCAGTGTAGTATATCCTTTGACTCCACGTCTCCAGCTAAAATGAAATGAACAAAATGAAACGAAATGCAATCAATCATCCCTATCCCCCCACACATCCGCCTCCTCCCTAGCCACAGCATCCAAATCAATAAACACCCCCTTCCCACTTTCCTTTCCTGCCCCTCCATCTTCCTCATCACTACTACTCTCACGTCCCTGTCTCGCCTCCTCCCGACTCATAGAACCCCACCCCGCATCTTCATCCTCCTCGTCGTCTTTCGCAAAACCAGGGGATACTGGGACGAAGTCGTCCATTAAGTTACTCGGCAGACCGGCTGGCACGGGGCGTTTAGAAGTGGAAGTGGGTGGGGAGGGTGTCAGGGGCATCATTGCCATTTCTGGGGGTTGGGACAGGTGCGGCTCTGTAAGGCTGTCGCGGTTAGGTGGTGGTGTTGAAACGCGGGGTTGACGGGGTTGTGGGAGGTCGGGTTTCGGGATGCTGGACATCTCGGGTTGGGAGTCTTTTCCGTGCTTGGATGATGGGCGGTGTTCTTGTTGTGAGCTGGATGGGACGGCGGCGGACTGTGTGTCGATGCTTTGGGTTGCGGGGAGTTTGGCGTGATGCTCCTGCTGGTGCTGTTGAGAGAAGGGGAAGATGGAGAAGAGGCTGGAGCTGAGGCTGTGGCGGTTTGGTGCGTTGGGTCTTTGTTCCTTTTTCAGTTCTTCTTGTCGTGGGTTTGGCGCTGTTGGAGGCGGTGCGGAGACGGAATGGGAGTGTGAAGGAACTCTTCGGATGGCGGCAGGGCTGGGGGGTTTGGCGATGGTGGTCTCTGGTAAGGATGCCTCACACATTTCACAGGCTTGGAGGCTGGGATCGTTGAGGAATGTGCAGCGTGGGCATTGCTTCTTGAGCTCTGGTGTTGATGGGCGTGGCGGCTCCGGGTTCTGGCCTGCTCGCTGTGGTCGAGGTGGTTGAGGCGGTGCTGCTGGCTCAGATTCGGTAGGCATCTGGTATCCTGGGCTATATCTTTGTCTGGATCTCGAATTGGATAGCACTGTGTCTCGTCTCTTGTTCCTGGAAGAAGCATCTCCACTTGCTACAGGGCCTGGGTTGGGATCAATGGAGACCACAACCTGCACATCTCTCTTTGTCCCACACTTCATGCACTGACACTGCCGCGTCACAGTCTTTGTATACGTATCAGTAACCTCAGAAGGCGCGTTGAATCTGATTTCGAACTTCCCGGGCTCTCCGAAACCCGCAGCACCCTGATCCTGCCTCTGCAAGTTCTTCGCATTTGAGTAGCCTGCTCCTTTTGCGACAATGGGGATAATTGGATCCACACTTCCGAATACCAAATGATCTACAAATGGCAGAAGCATCAAGGTTCCGCTGCTCTTGATATGGCGATCGACTTCTTCGCGCACTTTGAAATCGTCCAACGAGTGCAGAACCCGGAAATACTTGGTGAACATATCGCCATACCATTGTCGAACCTGAACACCTTGCTGCAATAACTCTTTTGCGATAGTTCGTGGCGCAGGGCTGGGCCAAAGTGCATCGATTAGGTGTTTCTCCTTCAAGGCCTTGCGGACCATCAAATCCAGCCTAGCACATTCGTACAGTTTCTTCTCCAATCTCTCATGCAACTCATATTTGGCGAACCTAATCACCAAGCCTCTCACGAATCCGGCATCGAGATTCCATTTTCGTGTAAAGTAGTCCAGTGACTCGAGATCTTTCTGTGCCTGTGCGTTGGCAGGCCGGACCATAAGTGGGGCGAGCTCATGTCCCATAGATATCCATCGGTCGGGTTGGTGCGGGAGGGCGGTTGCTGTGGACCAGAAAGATCGGATGGGGTAGTATTCGGCTTTGAAATAGTTGAAGATGAAGTCCAGAAAGTCCGATTCTGTAAGCGGCAATGCTGCATGGCCACGGGGAAAGTCCATCGTGGAGGTTGGCAGGCCGGCTGGTGGCGAGAGCCCGAATGTGTGACGGGTATCGAGGTCACGCGTTTGGAGCTTCCAGCACTGTAGCTTTTTGGAAGCGCTTTGTAAGAGTAATAAATTTAATTCAGAATATTGGCATGAGTGTGTATAGGGTTCTGGTTGCAGTTCTGGCGGACCACACGATGTGAGTAATGTTGCTGCCTGGGTAGAATAGAGAAGGAAACACGTACAGTAGCCACACAAGTTAAGAAGAGTGACGGTGCTGATTTACAGCTGCGCCACAGCATGTGACGATGTTATATGCGCTAGATGTGCTGCAGAAAGCTTCGGTGCATATCATGCTCTTGTGATGTGTTTCCTGGGGCGTACGTCATTGCTGTGGCGGTGGCGGTGCCCGACTCTTCATCCGCACTAGGCGCGCCTGGTTCTCGAAGCTCGACAGCTTTCACAGCCAGTCAAGACCTGGAAGTTTAATATTGCGATAACAGTTTTCCCACATGGCGTTTTTCTATGAGTGGGCTATTTAATGGCGTGCTGAATGCTCATCATGTGTGCGTGGAAATACAGGATAGGTATAGACAGGGCTCATCATATCTGAGCATTCGTTACGAACGGGAGATAGACCTATATTTAACCTTCATTGAATCAATGGATGTGCTGGAAATTTATCAGAATCATCATTACTCCGGGAGAGCATGAGAGATTGCGCCATTGGACCTTTTGGCCAAGGAATTAAACGCCCATGTTGGTAGAGTCAAAGACAAGGTTGTAAAACAGAGTTTCCAGACCCATCAAATGGGATAAATTCCCGCATCCGTTCAATACTAACTCCATGTGGATGTGGCAGCATGGTGGCTTGACGAAGATGTGTGCAAGGGCAACTGGGATTAAGGGGTCAGCAAGGGATTGCTCAATCGGGGCTTATCTCACAGATATGTGTTCTCGATGAGCCTATCATGATTTCTCCTAGGAGTAAAAGCATTGAATTTTGGCTATTGATCTCGCCTATTTCTGAGATACAAGCGTTCACCGGAAATGTCCCGCCTTTCCGCAACGTGGAGAATGCAGGAATCAGACCATGAGATCTCGGTAACAACCCCACGCCGCATTGCTGCAAGTAAGTCGGTATCTGCAGATCTTGCACAGACGTACAAATGACGGACACAGTTCTTAGTGGAGCTGGCGGCGGTAACCATCGTCCTTAAACTTGGCTTGGTCCATCAGTTCGGTTACGCAATTCTCTAGTTGTCCCTAATACCGATCTCAACCACTATCTTGGAGCTCGTGCAGTATGGCATCTTTGGAGACTTCATCAAAAGCTTCGTCTAAAGCTTCTTATAAATCTCCGTCTAAATCTCGTATCAAAATTTTTCCCAAAGAGTCTCACAAAAGGTCGCCGAGGTCATCAGAAGGTCTACAAATTGCAGAACCTGAGCCATATCCTGAAGCTGTCAATCGATACTCCCCGAATCGGGATACCAAACTGCCACAGCTACACGACCAGACAAGTCCTGATGAAGCATCAATACGCACCCGGCCATCTCAAGAGCGCGTATCCTTCCGTCCCGGACCGTACAGTGATCAATCTGGATATGGACCTACTATCGAAGTTCCGTCAGATATGATGAAGAAGTTCTTTGCTCACCGCCGGCGCAAATTCTGTTTCATTGTCATCTTCACACTGTTTATAGTCGGCACGCTCATTGGCTCCAGTATAGGAGGTGCACTATATGTGCAAGACAAAGCCGAACAGTACGTTTATTCCACTTTATACCTGGCTCATACTTTGCCGCCTAACTTCCGCTAGATCCGCCTCTGAAAGCGAAGCTACCAATAATCCAGTAGATGAAGATTCAACATCAAGCTCCACATCCGCACCAGCGGAACCTTCCACTCAAACCCAACCCTCAAGTGCAGTATATACAGCGCGCCCATTCGGCACCATCCAATCAATCAACACAACATGTCCATCTACTCTCCTCATATCCAGTCAACTCGAAGGCAAGACTTCGGAAATCAGTGGCCGCTACACCTACAGCTGCCTCGACGATACAAACATCCTCGACGAACCCAATCTCATGGCCTTTACAGCGTATACACTTGAACAATGCGTCGATGCCTGTAGCCAATACAGTGCTATAAGCTACAGAAATGAAACGTGCAAGGCGGTTGTGATCAGTTCGCAGTTTCGCGAAAAGTACGAAACAGGATATGGGGCGAATTGCTGGTTGAAGGGTTCGGCGGACAATGGTAGTACGGGGAAATCGGGATACACGGCGGCAGTCTTACGTGAGGGGTGAATGAATATCTAAATCACCGTGAGGAGATAGGTTTAGTAGTGCTGTATACGTCTTGATTATTAACCGTAAGAGACGCACCTCTGATGTTCTATTTACCTTTACTAGTCAGAGCGCTAATATAAACGCAGTACAGTATTTAAATCTTTTAAGTGGATCTAAGATCTAGAGATCGCCTAAAGTCGATAAGTGGAGAAGAGCGCTGTTCTCAGAGTTCAGCGAAGATCTTGATAACTTACATCCAATAGTATTTTCTAGATAGAATCATGCATATCTATATTTTCCATCCCTAAGAAATCACATCTCTAGCGATAGCCTGCAAGAAGGATACAAAGATGTCTTGTAATAATAGCTTATGTTTAAGGGCTCTATAGCCTTATTTTAGACGAGCGGCTATATTTATTAGGTTCAAACTAACCCTAACCGAACTCTACAAACACGCCGCGTAGTTATTCTGTAAACCAGTACGCGTGTTCGTTTCCCTTACCCCATTATAAGTGCAACCATTTCGGTTAACGTTGCATGATCGGGACTGAATAGGACTGTGAGAACGAAGTTCAGGTAGCAGAAAGTTTAGAAGCGCATTACGTACCGAGCCGCACTCCTGGCCACATAATGGCTGCCCTCTATCACCCCTGAAGGTACAACAAATTCCACTTTGGCCACTTGCAGGTAAGCATTGCTTTACTTGCGTTAGCGAGGTATGTTCATTCAATCAAAGTAATCAATACAAACATCGCGGCCTAATACCACAGCGCCTAGACTAAAGAGTACTCTATTACTCTATTCTGCTAAGAGACACCGATCACAGACTAGGTCACGTGATCGGTACTTCGGGTATCGTGTGGTTGTAGGATTGCGACACGGTCGTAATCAGTTTACTGATACCAGGCCCAAGCCTGTAAGCAGTTTCTAGGATCGTAACAGCACTATTTTGGCGCTCTTTAAATTAATTTATAGAAGTTGCCTATCGGCCCTAGATATCTTATTATGCCGTAAGCTTAATAGTATAAGCTGAGTCTAATCAAAAAAAGCATAAGATCTCCTGACAGCAAGTGGCCTGGCATGAATGGGTCTGTCTTATCTATTCAAACTGTTAAACTCTTGCTGTTTGTTAGAGACACAGTCTATATCAACAACTTTAACGATTACCAGCTCTCCTACAAGACCTTATTGACCATACCTCAAGCCAATATGAAGTGGAGAATAATTGTTCTTGCAGCAATTACGACCCTGTATTCACCTGTCAACGCACACAGTTATGCCTGCATCATTACAGGTGAATCTGGTGATGATAACTGCCCACAAGGCTCGTGGAAGGCCTGTGTATGCACAAACCTATCTCAGACACTTCCACTACGCATTTCTATTAACATAAATCTAGAATTTTAGACCAAATGCTGGGACAGGAAAGAAAAATAAATGTCCTAACAATTACCCTTACGAAAGGCACTGGACGGGCACATGGATTGACTATAATGCTGCCTGCGGCTTCGATAAACAAGGGGGATATGGTCGTGTATGGAAATGACTATTATCGTATCGTCCTTCTAGAAAATACTTTTATACTAGATATTAGGAATTAGGAGGTTAGCAATACAGCGAAGCTATGTATGTTAGAACTTATAATATAAGCAGATCAGGCGTGACTAGGCAGTGAGCTGCTACTGTAAGTCCTGGGCTTCGCCCGTCTACATGCTCCAAGGGAGGTCTTAAGTAAGGATGTTAAATAATCACATATAACTATATATACATATATATATACCGTAAGGGGCTGCGCTCTATAGAGAAAATACTTAGTACATAAGAGATTGCATTCAATAGAGAGCTAACTACTACTACTTATAAGATGTTTTTTTATCGTTAGAGAAAGGCTATGCCAAGTGTCTAAGCGCGTTGCCTAAGCGCCGCTTGGTGGTGAGCAGACTCTATGTGCTCCAGAGCACCTAGAGACTGTGAGCGACCCAAGATCCTATCGAGGAGCTACTAGAAGAGCGTCTAGCCTATTACATACATATGTATATATAGTCTTTTATATCAACTCTAAATCTGTTTTTAATATTCACTTTTAGTGGATTAAAGTATAGTCTACTGTTTTTATTTGAGATAGTTAATCTACCATACTATACGATAAAAAAAGAAAAAGATAAGCGGTTACTGGAAAACAGTAAAAAAGAGGAATTTCCGACACCGGGAATCGAACCTAAAGCCTGATTAGAATGTGTGATGTGGATTAAGTTGTTGTGATTGAACGTACCCGGGCCTTGCCGGCACTTGAACAGTGAACTGACTCTTGCAATGAGAGCGGCAAATCCTAGCCACTAGACCATATCGGACATTGATGGAATCTTGAATTCTAAGACCCTTAATAACATCAGTATTGTAAGAAAACTCAGGGAAAATGGTGCATCACCAATGGAGGTGGGAATTGGCTGTCAGTGTTATCGAAAGTGAAATTTTCGGGGATTTTTTGAACCATGAGAGTGGGCTGCAACAAAGCCACTGACGCGATATCGCAGACTAACCCCACTTTTGGAAAATCTCGAACAACTAACCTGCAACACAGCATTGCGGCTAGGTATAGAAAGTTTTTGATCATTATTTGAGTCGTATTTGTGTAGTTTGAGGGACATTTATTTAATTCGCAGGTTGGCTCTATGATGCTGCTCATGCGGTGTTTCATCCTGCATAGCCGATATGTAACTTGGATGCCCTCGGTAAAGTTCTGGTAATACATATTTCGTACTGGTATGAGTAGTAGATTGATTTGTCAATTGCAGAATACTCAGCTTGTTCCATGAAGTCTATAGACATTTACCAAAGAGCATATTTGGGCCATTATCCACCAAATCTTTAATCACAAATCTTACCAGCATCACAGTAAAAACATCCGGTCCAAATCTCTTCAAAATAATAGAAATTAATAATCTATTCATATACTCATAATCACATGAAAACCCGTTTTGCCCAGGCTAACTCCCTCTACTATCCAACAACAGTAAAGCTATCATGAACCTTCAGGTCACGGCTGCTAAGTCCAACCCAGATGTTGAACTCGCCCTCAGGGATAACCCACTGCTGGCTAACAACATCCCAGTAGCTCAGATCCCTGCGCATAAGCTCGAAGCTAACGCTCTGGGTCTCGCCCTCCTCAAGGTAGACCTTCTCGAACCCGCGGAGCTGGCGCACAGGGGTGCCGGCAGGGGCGGAAGAAGGCAGACCGACGTACAGCTGAGGCACAGCAGCACCGGCGACGTCACCGGTGTTGGCGACGGAGACGGTGACGTTGTAGATGGCCTCCCAGAGAGCGGGGTTGCCGCCGGGCTGGATGGGGAGGTTCTCTGGGTGGGAGGTGATGGCGTCCTTGAGAGGAGCAGACTTGATGTCGGAGATGGAGAAGGTGGTGTAGGAGAGACCGAAGCCGAATTCGTAGCGGACGGAGATGTTGTGCATGTCGAAGTGGCGGTAGTCAATCTCGAGCTTCTCGTCGAACCAGCTCTGCCAGTCGTTGAAGCCGTCGGTTTGGATTTCGGTGGTGGGGGGCGCGTTCCAGTCGTCACCATTCTTGGCGATGGTGTAAGGGAGGTGGCCAGAAGGGTTGAAGTCGCCGTAGAGGATGTCGACGAGGGAGTTGCCGGATTCTTCACCGGGGAAGTGAGCGGCCAGGATGGCGGTGACGTTGGGGTGGTCAGACCATGGCAGGGTGTTAACACCGGAGGAGTGGGTCACGACGACGGTGTTGTTGCAGAAAGATGCAACGGACTCGACAACTTTGTCGCCGTTCCAGTCGGACCCAAGGTGATAGCGGTCATCACCCTCCTCAGCCCAGGTCTTGAGCATGACGATGCAGACATCTGGGACATCGCGTGGGATGACGAGGGTGCTGACATTGTTGTTAATGATGTGGGTGTTGTTCAAGAAGTACTGGACAATGCCACGGTCTTCCCTGACACGCTGCTGGATAGCGGTGAGGGGCGTGATCACGTAGGTGTTCTGGCCGGTACCAGAGCCACCGCCAGCAAAGATAGCACCATACTCGTAGTTTTGCTGGTTGAGGACAGAGCTACGAGCAAGCTCACTGGCACCGTTACCGAAGATTGCGACATTGCGGGGTGCCTTGAGAGGCAGAGCACGGTCTACGTTCTTCAACAGAACGGTGCCAGCAGCACCGTGTCGACGGATCAGCTCGTTGTGGTTGCCACGAACATCACGGCTCTTCTCGCCAGTAAGGTTGAACTCGCGGGTCCAGGACTTTCGTGGAGAGAAAGTGTTGAGATCAGCAGAGGAAGGGTCAACGGACGGGAAGTCGTTGTCCTGGCCGAGCTGGAAGTAGGGAGTCATGATACGGAGGACCATGTCGTCGATGCGGGACTCGTTGACAGTGCCGTTGTTAACAGCAAGAGTGACATTGCCGCCAAAGTAAGATGGGACACCAAAGTTCAATCCGTAAGCACCAAGTCCACCAGGCATGTTCATGTCAAGACCAGCCTCGATGGAGGCAACACCCGAGTGGGTCGCACCCCAGTCAGACATGATGTATCCTTGGAAGCCCAACTCACCCTTGAGCAGACCGTTTTGTGAAGCAGAGTTCTGGCATCCGTAAGATCCATTGATTCTCTGGTACGAGCACATGACACTGGCAGCGCGGGCCTTGATAGCGTTGGCGAATGGCCACATGTAGAGCTCGTGCATGGTGCGGTCATCAATGTTGGATGAGATAGCAGCTTGCGCTTGTTCGGTGTTGTCGTCCTTGCGGTAAGTAGGATTACGCATGATTTCCTGCTCGTTACCAATCCAGTGCTTAGGGCAAGCCTGTACACCTGCATCTTGAGATGCCAGGATGGTCTTCTCCATAGCTACACCACTGAGGTAAGGGTCTGAGGAAAAGCCCTCCCAGTTACGGCCGGCATAGGCGGAACGTCCAAGTGGTCCTGCGACAGGACCCAAGAAGACATGAGCACCCTTTGCCCTGAACTCTTCGCCCATGGCGTAGCCGCGCTCATACATGAGGTCCTTGTCCCATGTAGCACCGGCGGATACACCGGCGGAGAATACGCTTGCGTAATCAGCCACGCGAATGGCAAGAGGGCCATCGTGGAGGCAAAGACCAGGGAAGCCCAGGCGGGGAATGGCAACGATGTTACCAACACAAGGGCCGGCTTGACCAGTGACCATGTCAGCCTTTTCTTCCAGAGTAAGTTGAGCCACGAAAGCCTTTGCCTTCTCAAGGCCCATCTCCCAGCCACCAGCACCAGAAATCTTCGCTGCACAAATTATTAGACATGTCCGATAATCAAACAATCATCCCTAGGAAAACTCACGTGAAGGATATACAGCCGGCGAGGAGCCATACTCGGTCAGAATGGTAGTGTTGAGCGGCTGGACGTAACTGAAAGCGCCTTCGCCGCGACCACTACCTCCGAAGTTCTGAGCACTGACTGCAGCCAAGAGGGCAGAGCCCGAGAGCACCTTTGAGACGACAGAGGGCGCCATGATTCCAGATAGTCGAAGGTGAATCGAAAGCCTGACTACCCATGATTGCAGTTGCACTGAGGCACTTATATACCATGATTGCTCCCTCGCCCCCCGGACCAAAGTCGCCCGCGGGTACTACTTCACAGTCCGGGACTGACACGTTCAGAGGCCCACGATGCAAGCATTCTGGGGACCGAAGTTTACCCGTCCGAGCTGTGGAGTCTCCGCAAACTCGCTCCATACCATGTTCATAACAACATTGCCAATAACGACGTCATGGATTGGCTGCGGAACGACTGCCAAGATGGCGGTTCGACAGTTTTGCGCTTCGGCAGATGCATGTGGGATCCATTCGAGCAAGAATCGGAGTGCAGAGCCGCATGACTCGTGTGGATTTGCGGGGATCGTGACAATGGGGTGAATGACTCGGTCCGACCAACAAGTCTACAATCGCGTCATAGCCATGTTCTCGGTAGTCCGCTCCGAGCCGCGAGAATTGCCTGCTGGTTTCGAACCTAATTTTTTTTACTACGGCGCTGGAAGACGTTTGAAACTTAGTATAGGCTTACCTACGCCATGGGAAAGCCATGATTGCCATGGTCTGTTAATATAGCAAGGCTAGCGCTCAGGATAACTCGTCTCGTACGACAACGCAGCTTCTTCTCTACCCAAGGCCCCAGCTTTTCACCCACCGCCGTGGAGTGGAGCGGGGTGGAGAAATCATGCTCGTATAGCCGAGTAGAAGTCCCAACGGGCACCGCAGAATACGTGCCTTCGTCACGAGGCCTGCAGGGAAGTTGAAGAATCTTGCAAGAATCGATCCAAGCGTCGGGAAGCGTTGTGTGCTTTCGGTATGCGCTACGCTTTTCTAGGCAATGCGCCCTGCTCAAGTCCCCAGTATCCACCTTTTATCACATGGGGATCGGCTCCAGAACTCCACATAGACGCACTACTTTTGCTGGCTTCCCCGCAATAAACATGTCTTCGCCCGAAGTTGAGCCTCAGACACAGTTAGGATTGTCAGGTCGAACGTTAGTCTCCAAATCAAAGAAAAGTCCAAGAAGCCTTCTAGACAACGACAGAACGCATAGCTGCTGCCGAAATTCCCGCACTTGGCAACACATTTCAAGGTGAGGGGACTCCATTTGTAATTTATTGTTTTGCGGAGATGTGCTTGGAAGATGGCTGTATCGACTCGACCGGTATGCAAGATTTGGTGGCCTGTTAAGCAGGGAAAACCCGTTACCTAACGGCTACTATGTGCATTGCCAGCCTGGTAACGGAAAACCATCATTTGAAGCGCAATAGCCGCGCGCTATGTCATCCATGGGGCTCTTCTTCGGAAGCTCGATCCGAAGACAAAGGCGGGAACGAGCATTGGACTTTTATGAGGCTTTACTCTTGGTCAATGCCAACCAATGAGGCCATGACGAGCAAGAAATGGTGCCTAACCTAAGTGTTGGCGTTCATACATACACAAACCCGCTACTAGAACTCCGGCAACCAAAGATTCAAGGGTCTAATCTACGCCGTCTCCGAACCGTCGCATCGCGACTGGTACAATTACCTCTTTGGGAATCTACCCCATCCACTTCGACCTCCATACTCCAACTCAACAAAGCTAGATTCCTAGCTCCCTCCCGTTCTCTCGGGGCCTTGACTGCCGACACCCTAAGCGCTTCAAGACTAGAGTAGACCGTCAAACAGCAAGAAAAGAGTAGTCCGGTTCAATAGATCCCGTTGTAGTCCCCACAATACCGTACGTACATGTACCCTGTTTTTCCCGACCCATCACCGATCAGCCACCAGCCACCCGACTTCCATCCGATCCTTCGACCGGCACTTCTCAACTACAACCACCAACACTAATTCAATAATCAGGCGTTCCTACCCATATTATAACCCCACCTATACCACGGCTGACATAGCTAACACAATTTTCCATGTACATCAACCGAGGAAACAAGTTGACACCAAGAAGACTCCATAAATAATGACAGAAGTCGAACCTGATACTATCATGCTTAGATAAGATGATGTAGAAGGTCAAGGAATTACCGTAAGAAACCCTTGATAAACTGTATGCTGGCAGCATGCCGAGCCTCGTGCATCTTTCTGGGAGAAAAATCAATAGAGGAAGGCGTTACAATGCAGGATGAGGGGTTGAAAGCGGTGCCGAAGTGCACATGCAAGGAGTCTCAGAAACACATCGAGGAAAATGGGTAGTTTAGATGTATGTAGTAATTGGACTGAGAGAAAATATTGTTGAAAATATGGATTATGTGTCTAATTACAAGAGGATATTGAGCTGAACTATATACTATTTGACATTACTCCCATCAACCAAAACATTACTCTGTATCTTCAACGAACCCCCCTTCAAACAGCACCAACAGGCTGGCCACTCTGCACCGCCGCCTTCTCCACCGTCTTTTCCGCCGTCTCCTTCTTCTTCGACCCCCTCAACTTCCCCATGAGCGCACTCAAATCCGCAACCCTAAACAAATAATACATCAAAACCGCCATAAAAGCATTAAACACAACAAACGCAAAAACAATGCCGAAATTCCTCCAGCGCTCCGAGTAAAAAATCTTGGAGCCAGCAAGGAACTGATCTGTAGTCTTGAGCGTGCAGTAGTGGCAATCAGCCGTAGCATCGGGATTTTGAATGACGCCGCCAGTCCTCGCCGCAAACGCACTGAGGTACGCGCCACAAGTCTGATTCGACGGCGGATCAAACCTGAGCACCTCGGTCGCACTACACACGACAGGGCGCCCCGCCGACATGGTACTGACGAGACCGGCAATCCAATACGTAAACGGACTAACGCGGTACATGAAGATCCAGAACCCGGGCAGCTGGCTGGGCGGCTGCATGACACCGTTGAACAGGATGCTCATGAGCGTAAGCAATGAGACGAGGCCAGATGCCGTTTGAGCGTTTGGCAGCGCGGAAATGGTCATGGCGGCAAAGGTGGAGGTAAAGAGTAGAAGCTGGACGGAAAAGAGCATTGCGAGACCCTGGCGCTCGCTCGATTGGTTCACGCCGACAACCGGGTAGTAGAAACATGCGAAGGTGATGAGGCCCGCGATGATGCCGTAAGGGATCTCAACGAAAATGTGTGCAATCATGAAGGCCTTCCAGCTGTACGCTTTTGAGGGGCGCTCACGCACTTCGTACAAGGAGCGCTGGGTCACGAACAGAGGGTGGATTTGCTGCACCAGCGACGTGAAGATGGTGGTGATCATGAAGACGCTGAAGATGATGGTTTGCATGCCCGCCTGTGTGGTGTTTGCTTTGTAAAAAGAAAATCCGATGAAAAGGCCAGCAATAGCGCAAAGGCCGAATTTCGCCATAACGTAGCTGGGCATGCGCCAGTACTGCTGGAAGTTGCGGTATGTGCACTGGTAGATTTGGGTGGCAAGCGGCATGGCGAATTCAGAGGAGCCGGTTTCGCTGGCGAGGTCGACGGATTCGTTGCGTTTGGATTCGTGGAGCTGGTTGATTTCGTGCTGGACGTTTTGCGCTTCTTGACTCGCTCTCCACACGTTGAACCAGTCTTCACCTTTGTTGTTTTTGCCGGCGTTTACGATTTCGAGCATGTACTCTGCGGGGTTCTCGTCTTCGCCGCATTTTCGGGCGCCGTTGGACTCGAAGTAGTCGAGGAGGGTGCGGGAGTTTTCGCCGAGCTCGCCAAAGTAGACGGTTTTGCCGCCGCGGGCGAGGAAGAGGAGGCGGTCAAATTCTTGGAAGAGGATGGCGCTGGGCTGATGGATGGTGCAGAGGATGGCTTGGCCAGCTGAGGCGAGTTTGCGGAGGAAGGCGACAATGGACCAGGAACTCTGTGGCAAAGTCAGTAAATCCTTGTGATGCCGAGCGGGTTATTTGAGATTATTGCTACTAACCTGAGAGTCAAGACCAGACGTGGGCTCGTCGAGGAACAGAAGAAGCTTGGGCTTTGCTGCGAGTTCAACACCGATAGTCAGAAGCTTACGCTGTTCAACATTGAGACCCTCGCCTGGAACACCAACAACAGCCTCGGCAAAGTCAGACATGTTGAGCATCTTGATGACCTCCTCGACATAGTCGAATTTCTCTTGCTTGCTGACATTCTTGGGCTGTCGAAGCATAGCGGAAAATTGCAATGCCTCGCGAACAGTAGAGGTTTCGAGATGTAGATCCCTGGGCTAGTTAGTATCTTCGAGAAAATTTGCATCAAGACAGAAGCTTACTGTTGCTGCACATAGCCGGTGGAACGTTGGAATGCAGGATCAAGGGGCTTGCCGTTAACAAACATGTCGCCGGTAATGACGCCCATGGTTGTGCGCTGGGCGAGAGCATCGAGAAGTGTCGTCTTTCCAGCTCCAGAAACACCCATGAGTGCAGTCATAGTACCAGGCTTTACATATCCAGAGACATGATCCAGTAGACGTCTGGGCTCACCCTTTATCTCAATGTCATAGACAACGTCTCGCCATGTGAAAATACCCTTTGCCTCCTCGATGGCGCTGACATCGCCAGCTCCTTCCGCTACTTCCGGCTTAGATTGACCTGATTCTTCGTCTGACTTTTGGCCTTGAGGTTGCATGTAAGCTGGAACGTGTCCACGGCGGAAGACGAGCTGCTCGGCGGTGCTGGTTGTAGAAGAGTTGATCTCGACAGCAAAAAAGTACGTGATCATGAAGAAGATCAAGAATGCCCAGAGAATACCAAAGTTGCGCCACACATGGCTCCAGGAATACCGGTAGGAGACTTCAAGAAAGCGGTCACCGTTGACAAACCTTTCTCCAACAACTGCGCCTGGTGCGTTGCAGATGAAGTTGTTGCCCTCGGGCGAATAGCCAGGTCCTGATGGTGCAAGCGAGTCGCAGGGAAAGTCAACTCCATGCATCTCGTTGGCAAGCAGAATCTCGAAAGCGTAGAAGATGGGATTGATCCATCTGATCCAGCCAAACCAGTCAGGCATCTGCGGAATGCGAATGACGAAACCAGTGTAGATGACTAGGACCAACACCAACATACCAGCTCCCGCCATGGCCTGTGCCGCCGTCTGAGTAACTGCGGCGGTCGTCCGGAAGATGGCGGCCATGATAAAAGTGGACATGTACGTAATCATAAAGTAGATGAAGAACTGCCCAGCCGTCCTTCGCAGGCCAGCCATAAAGTACAGAATGATATTGAAAACCACAGCCTGTGCGAACTTGACCGGTAAATCTGCGACAATTCCAGCAATGGCTTCGGAAGCCGGATGGTAAAAGGCGTACGAATTGTGTTTCTCGACTATAGGGCGTTGGGAGTACAGACCAGCGATTTCACCAAGAGATGTCAGGGCGCTGAATAGGATGGCGAGGAAGATGGTGCCACCACGTCCTTGGAATGAGGAGGTGCCTGAAGATTGGCCGTAGAACATGGAACCGACAATGAGGGCAATGATGAGGTTGAGCACGGCTTGCACTGCAGTCGAAGCGATATCACCACGGATGCGCTGGTAGGCTCGTCGCGTGTTGAGTTTGATCTGTAGGGCAACGCTTATAAGGTAAGGCGACTTGGGGCGAGTATGCTTGGCCTAGATGGTGGTCAATATCGGAGAAACATTGCAGGGAAAGTTGTTTGGACACGAACCTGGAGGTGGTTCTTCTGTTGACGAAGTTGCTCAAGAGTAGCGTGCTCGTTGATTGGATGCTCCGCCTCGAAATCGGCAATGTCTTCCAGCAAGGCCTGGTACTCTGGGGATTCGAGCCAGTACTTCTCGAATTCCTCAGGAGTACGAGGAACCTTGTTTTCCATACCCTTTTGGGGCTTTCGCTCTTCTGGATTGGTGACAGCTGTGAGGAAGTCTCCCGTGGTCTGTCGAGGTGGGCAGTACCTATGACATGTCAGTACAATGTTAGAGCTTTGTGCTAGTAGTATCTTACCATCCTTGTCGCTCAAAAAATCCCTTAGCTTCGTCAGCAGGGCCAAAGTAGATCTGGCGCCCTTGGTAGAGAACTGTGGCTTTGTCGAAGCAGTCGTAGACACTTTGACTAGCTTGGTAGATGGCAACCGCAGCTGCACCTCCAGTCAAGTCGGAGCCGACTCTTAGAGAGTTGACAAACTTCAATGCTGTAGCCGAGTCGAGACCACGAGTTGAGTTGTCCCACGCAGCCAAAGGAGCTCCGGCCAACAGCATCTCAGCAACGGAGACACGCTTGCGCTCGCCACCAGAGACTCCGCGTACAAAATCATCTCCAACTTTGGTGTTGTATGTGTGTGTAAGTCCAAGGACAGCCATGACAACCTTGGCCATAAATTGGGCGAATTCGTCACGACTCGCTCCGCCTGGGCGATTTGATGGTGTTCGGACAGCTGCGGCGAATTCCAGAGTCTGGCCGACGGTCAAGTGAGGGAAGTGCCTGTCGACCTCCTGGTTGTATACCATTTCACCCTTGAATTCCTTGATCATCCGATTCTGGGGGACACCGTTGTAGTGAATTACTGAATCGTCCGTATCGAGACCGTGTAGTTCGCCAGTAAGTGCCTTCAACAGCGTAGAACAACCCGAGCCGGGTCGACCGAGCACAATGCAGAGCTCGCCAGCCCGGATTAGACCGTTGAATGAGTGCAAGATCTGCTTGCGCTCAGTCTTTCCAAAAATTTCCTTAGCCCGAAAGGGGGCCATGAACACATCTGCAACAGTCTGTTGGAGTTGAAGAGCATTTCCAGAACCAAAAACGTTCAGGTTTTTGAACGCGACACTGAGCTTCTTCATCTCAATGCCTTCTCCCTCAAGCTGGTGACGGAGCATGTTCAAAAACTTGGAGAGATCGAAAGCATCGCTGCTGGGGTCTACCGCTGGGTCATTTGGCGCCGGAACGCTTAATTGCCTGGTGACGTTTGCAGACGCTGTTGTGAAGATGCGTACTAGTTCTCGCCTTCCGTCTTCATCAATTTCTGACCGGGTCATCCGACGTTGCAGACCCATTGAGGCCCTTTGGTCGGCTGAAGATGATGTTCCCACTCTCTTGACCCTTTTCGACTCGTCGTTGGATCCATGTCGTGTGTGTGAGGATTCGGAGGAAGTGGAGGTATCAACCTGTTCGAGGGGCACTACCTCCTCCTTGTTTATTTGTGAGCAACCGTCATGTTGTTGTGATGAATGGCCAGAGGAAAATAGGCCCTCGCCGTAAGAGTTGGAAGCCATTATGCGTGTCACAATAGCTGTTGCCGGCGTGGGAAATCAAGTGTCGTTCGATTTGAACCCTTCTTTTACACAGGGACGAAAAGATATATCAATGTGGTGGCCACTATTCGGACCTAAGTGGTCATAACATGCCGGGTCGCGGAATCTCCTCATGCCCGTATTCCTAAACTTTGTGCCAATACGTCGGACGAGTAGCATGAGGCGTATTCGTCCAACATTACCTGCCCAGGCCCAAGTGCTTGGGTCGAGCCAAGGCATCCCCGATCGCATTCTCCATACGCATCACCGAATTGTTGGTCCAGACCTGAACTAGCTCCGAGATACCCCTCCGAGATACCCTGAACGCTAAAGTTAGTCCGGTCGATCTTCTATGTGACGTAGGGATGCAATACGCTCCGCCGGACGTATGCGGAAGAAGAACACATGGCTTTGATGGGACGTCACACATAGAAATTAAATCAAATCCCTGATACAACAATAAATTCTGGTTCGAAAAAGACTGAATTTGCAAAGGGGAATCTCCACGACCCAGGAAATTGACAATAATTGCATTGCTTGGTTCCGAGTGTGTGTCAAGGACGGCCGGTCATTGTGATGTTGAATGGACCAGTTAGCGTACTGCTACCCTAGTCCCGGACGAAATGATCGCTCGGATGCCTCGGGGCGCATGCTTTTCTCTTCGCTACCTATGCCTGTTCTGGCTTCAAGCTTTGCCCAGGTTACCCCAGAAGCCTCTCGAAATCACCAGGATTGCAGACGTCATATAACAGATACGGGTCCGTATGCTGGCCCGGTATGGGCTTATGTTGACAACATACCTCCTCATCTTACTTATCTTGTGCAAAAAGGGCCGTGTACAAGCGACTGTTGATCATTTCGAGAACGCTCGGCCGACCAGTCGGACATTTTGACGGACTGTATGTGCCGACGCACAGAGTCGACCGTGCATGAACCTGCTGATGTGCTGTACCAGACAGGCTGGCATTCTGGTATCTCATGTGACAAGAGCTGAAAAAAGTCCACATCTTTCTCTTGCCGTGAAGTAAATCCGGATTTGCAGATATGGTAAGTTGCGTACAGTCTCAATCGTGCATCCTCGGCCGTGCATAAGCTCAGCTTATTGAACTTGGCAGATGTGACATATGTAGTTCTATTGTCTGCAGCTGCAGCTCCCGCAGTATACGCAGCGGGCTGGAGTTGGGTCTAGATGCAAGTCTTTCATGCCAAGTTGCACTAGAACGAGCACACAATCAGGCATGGGCACATTCCTGACTGTGTAGTACATACGTGAACATTGTCTTGTAGCTATGATAGTGGTCAGCCCCACAAGCCGTAACACAGCCACGTGTAATAAGCAGACTCGGAGAGTAATTTTAGGTACGCGCGGCATTTTGTCATGGACATATCCGCCTTATTAGGCACAGCCACATATCCTGGATTACTTGCGCGTACGAGAACCGGACCGGTACTTATCTCCATGATCAGCTCAAGCATCATGTTGGCCACCGAGACCCTGCAGAGCCGTCCCTAAGTACTACTCGGAGTCCGTTTTATCTAGTGTGTGAATGCGATCGGGCAAACATGACAAACTGTCAAGTGTCAACTCTAGGCAGGGTCTGTGTGACGGACGAATCTAGCCCACCTGTTCAAAGAATAGTCAGACTTGCGTTGTAGGCACATCCTCGCCGCTCGCAATCAGACAACACGTCGTGTATACTCTTGTACTGATGGCGCACACGGCTTCTCACTTTAGTTGTAGTCCTTCTAGTTTGTGCTCAACGATAGGTACATGTTCGGTCAACCGATTTGGATCCCGCATGGCAGCCAGTACATCTTCTTTCCTGCCGGCCAACTTCTTCCGTACCTCTTCGTACTTCTCTTCCCTCGCCGTATACTCCCTCAAGATGACCTTGTCTGCGAACTCGATGAATATCCTAGTGTCTCGGATTCTGAAAACCACGTCGTCCAGGCGCATGAAGAAGCGAACAAGTAAGAGCAGGCGCTGGGGCATGACGCGCACCTTGCAGGAGAGCATGGCAATGCCGTTGTCAGCCAGTTCGTCCTCGTAAAGCACGAGCTCATCGAAGAAGTGTATCGGGTCGGGACGCTTGAGCAGGGCGAGGGGTATTTGCGTCTCAGTCGGCTCGAATGCGGGTGCCAAGGGGGTGGTGCCCTTGTAGTCGGTGCTGTAGGACCAGTCAAAGGGCTTGACAACTTCTTTGATGTCTTCAAACTGCTTTTGCCTAGGGTGTGTTAGCGGCGCGCACTGCTTTCAAGATATCCATCACCAACCGGTTCTGCTGCCATTCCTTGGAATAGGCGACCTTGAACATGTTCTCGCCCGTCTTGTCGACTCGGTCCAGCGCGTCAAAGGCATTGAACTCGATATACCAGCCGCTCTGTTCATGATCGATCCGAACTATGTTGTCGCCAAAGATCATTTCTGGTGGCGCAATCCCCAACTTTTTGGTCATTTCTTCAATGGGCCCCGCCTTGAGGATTGGCAGTTTGCGCGTCGTGATCTTGAAGCCCTCCTTGGTAATGGACGTGTCGGCATGGCCGGGCGCGACAGTGTCCGCGGGGGCGCCGTTGAGTGATGCCATGATGGTGCAGGCCAGGCGACGATGATATGTTCGCCACGGATGCGACAAAGACCAAACGGCACCCTTTGCAAGAATGGCTATACTCATAAGTGCATTGTCGATGGCGGGGACACGGCTGGGGTGGGGCGCGAACCAAAGCCCCGATGCCCCGATCGCCAGGCCCTAGTCCGGCAAGCCCCCGTCACCCATAGCAACGCTCGAAACCCACTTGTTTGATGACTTGTTGGCCGTGCTGTCCTCCACAACCTTGAACCCATCCCCATCTCCAAGTGATCATCACGCCCTCGTCTCCAAGAGATATCCGTACTCTGAGTGAAGTAGCAGGTTTTGGCTGCCCCCCTCTGATCTTGACTCGTCTCCTGTCGCTACAGCTTGCATCACACCGCCATGGCCGACGTTGCAAACCTCGAGGCCGCCTTTGAGCGCACCACGATCCACGACGAGAATGACGACCAGGCTGCGTCTAACGCAGCCTACCAAAAGGCCAAGAAGGTATGTACCCTTCCGATAAGCTTTGTGCCAGCGGTTCTAACAAGATCCAGCCTTCGGTAGCTGGCCTTTCAACCTCGCAATCAGCAGCCAACCGCATGAAGCTGCCTCACCAGATCCCTCTCCAGAAGATCGCGACACAAAACGCAAAGACGGCAAACATCGCAAAGGTCAACCTTGCTGCAAACGCCGGCCGGCCCTCAGAGCACAGCTCGTCTCACCGCCGCACCCTCACCGAATCAGCGGTGTACAGCGTTCCCTCAAATCCCGCAACCCCCAAGCAATGGCATCTGGGCATGTTCGAGATTGGCAAGCCGCTCGGAAAGGGTAAATTCGGTCGCGTATACCTCGCAAAAGAGCGTGCTTCAGGCTTTGTCTGCGCCCTCAAGGTCCTGCACAAGTCCGAGCTCCAACAAGGCAAGGTCGAGAAGCAGGTTAGGCGAGAGATTGAGATCCAATCTCACCTCACCCATCCCAACATTCTCAAGCTGTTTGGTCATTTCCACGACGCCAAGCGCATCTTCCTCATTCTCGAGTTTGCAGGAAAGGGAGAGCTGTACAAGCACCTGCGCAAGGAGCAGCGCTTCCCGGAATGGAAGGCTGCCCAGTACGTTGCCCAGATGGCTGCCGCCCTCAAGTATCTCCACAAGAAGCACGTCATGCACCGCGATATTAAGCCTGAAAACATTCTAGTCGGCATCCACGGCGAGATCAAGATTTCCGACTTCGGTTGGTCGGTCCACGCCCCTAACAACCGCCGCAACACCATGTGCGGAACGCTTGACTACCTTCCTCCGGAGATGCTTCGTGGCGGCGGCAAGGACAACTACTACACTGAGAAGGTCGACCTGTGGAGTTTGGGTGTCTTGACATACGAATTCTTGGTCGGTGAGGCGCCTTTTGAGGACACACAAGTCATGACACAGCGCAAGATTGCGAGGGGAGAGTACACAGTGCCCAGCTTTGTCAGCTCAGAAGCACGGGATCTGATTAAGCGATTGTTGGTGCTGGATCCTGAGAAGCGTATTGCCTTGGAGGATGTTGAGAGACATCCCTGGATTGTCAAGCACTGCAAGGGCAGCCCCAGAGCATATGAGCGTACGTCTGGAGGCAAGTCCCGCAGCAGTTCGGACGACTCTGAGGAGAGCTTCTAAGCCAAGACCTGGTGCCATTTATTTTATGTTTAACTGCTATGACGGCGAACAGGCGCAACCCACGGAAGTCACTGGAACCATATGATCTGATCGCATTGCTCGGAGTTTTTGCTAGCCTTCCCTTATCTCATCGGCGTTTACCTTGTTCATATCAGCTTCCATTAATCATTAAATGCAAGACCAGAATTTCATGTTCAATTTCATCCCATCATCTTGAGCGAAGATTGCCGTGCCTGTTAGACTTGCCTGCCAAACGCCGTTCGCTATGCATATTTACAACAACGGTTCCCAATACAGATTATCGTACACTCATGCCCACGTCCCGTCTACCGGTAGATTTCATCAAACGGCCTGGTATCTCTAAAGCAGCTTTCCCAGACCTCGTTCACCACCTTGCCTGCGTGTTCCTGGTCCCTGATGCCTGGTCTGGCCAGCATACTCAGCGTAGCCCTCCTCCTTACACAAGCCTGCAACTGCTCGGTAATCCTCCATTGGTTCCTCGTGAAAAATTCGCGGGCAAACCTGCACTCTCCGGACAATGTCGAAGCCCTGATCTCCAAGCAAGCCTGATGTCTAAGGTTATCCGGCTCAACCTTGAACTTGAGGTGGTCCCACGCATGAACCATCTCATGGGCCATTGTATCCTCCTGGTGTCCGCGATTGCGAAACTTGTTGGCGCACAGCAAGATACCATGGTCAAGCGAGAATCCACCGCTCTGCTCATTCGTACACATGCGACATAGGATGTTGTCTTTGTTTAAGTCACCGCCTAGCTTGTACACTTCATCTTGCATGAAGCGGATGACGGGGCTGTATTGCAGCAGGTACTCCTTATTGGACTCACAGCGCCTACAGATGGAGTCGGCTTTGATTGTATCCATCTCGCCAAAGTAGTTCTTTTCGAGGGAGATGTCGCGCTGGCCGGTCATGCGGCCGAGCAGGATGTTGAAGGCGCTCGACCAGGTGTAGTATACGGGATCGATCTTTGCAGGCGGCGGCTGCGCCATGGCGGAAATGGAGGCGCCGTCGGGCGCTGTCTCGGGTTTCGACATGTTTGTAGCTGGTGGGATGGAGATGCTCGCTGGTGAATTGACCCAGCCGCGAAAAGTTTAGGTGGAGATGGGGTGGTGGGATGCGCGGGGAGCCAATCGGAGGGCAGACGTCGCCGCGCGCAGGGGCAGCCCGAAGATCGGTAGTGTTGCGAGGCACAGGGAAGTTTGGGCTCGTTCCAGTCATGTGTTGCGCGCGAATATAAAGTATAAAGAACGGGTTTATTTTTCTTCAAGTGGCTTATTCAAAGAACTGCGCTGTCTCTGTCGACCGTCCTGCTTCCACCGCTACAATGGCTGTCCACATACGCAAGCATCCTGGCCAACTCACCGTCGTCATCAAGCTTGGTAAATACATTATTGTACAGATTTCACAACAGAAAGAAGAGGGCACCTAACCAACACACCCAGGCACTTCCTCGATAGTCGACGAGAAGACCCACCAGCCCCTCCTCTCCATCCTCTCTCTCATAGTCGAGACAGCATGTAGTCTGCGTGCTGCCGGCCACCACGTCGTCATCGTCTCGTCGGGCGCCATTGGCGTGGGCCTACGACGCATGAACCTCCCACGCCGCCCCAAACACCTTCCACAAGTACAGGCGCTTGCTGCGATTGGCCAGAGTAGATTGATGTCACTGTGGGATCAGCTTTTTGGCAATCTGGAGCAGCCGATTGCGCAGGTGTTGTTGACGAGGAACGACATCGCAGATCGCACGCAGTACCAGAATGCGCAGAATACCTTTATTGAGCTGCTCAGCATGGGCGTCATTCCAATCGTCAACGAGAACGATACGCTGGCGGTTACGGAAATCAAATTTGGTGACAATGACACGCTAAGTGCCATTACAGCGGGCATGGTGCAGGCGGACTATCTCTTCCTCATGACAGACGTAGACTGTCTGTATGACAAGAACCCGCGTTCGAATCCAGATGCAAAGTCTATCCCCGTAGTTGAGGATATTGCTGAGTTGGCGGCCGATGTCAGTTCTGCAGGAAGTTCACTGGGCACAGGAGGCATGAGCACCAAGATTGTAGCGGCAAGACTGGCAACCAGCGCGGGCGTTACTACAGTCATCACCAAGAGTAGCAAGCCAGGTAACATCTCGAGTATTATTGCCCATGCGGAGAAACACAGGAAGTCGAGAATGTCAAGTCGGAACTCGGTCACCAACTTCCAGGAAGAGGGCACCCACACTCCATCTCAAGAAGCAAGCCAAGATCTGTCGGCCTCGACAGCATCACTAGGGCAGCAACCACTAACGCGAGCGTCATCCCCACAAACCGAAGACCCTTGTCCCCTGCATACCCGCTTCCTTCCCATATCCAACCCCATACGCGACCGCTACTTCTGGATCCTCCACGGCCTAGCCCCCCACGGCACCATCTACATTGACCAAGGCGCCTGGGCCGCTCTGAGCGACAAAGCCGGACTCCTCCCCGCAGGAATTGTAGACGTAGACGGCCACTTTGCCCAACAAGAAGCCGTCCGCGTTGTCGTCGTAAAACGTCTCTCTTCCTCCTCCTCCAAATCTTCTCAATCCCAAACTCCCGCTTCACCAAGCCAAGTCCCCACCACCCCCGGTGCAGCAGCCCACGCTGTCCACGCTCCCATTCCTATCCGACACCCTCTCACCCCTTCCGCTTCTTCTTCTCATATCCATCAGCTATCATCTCCACACCAACCTCCTGCATTTGAACTGCATAACCCCGCGCCGTTTGAGATTGGGCGGGCAGTCGTGAATTACTCGGCTACGGAGATTCGGAGGATCAAGGGATTGCATTCTACGCAGATTAGAGAGGCGCTGGGATATGCTGATAGCGAGTATATTGCGCTTAGAGAGAATATTGCCTTCTTTGGGGGTGAGCGGTCACGACCTAGTACTCCGGATTTTAGACATGGAGCGGAGAAGAAGGTTGAGGGTGCGGAGGTCCATTGAAAAGATGAAGGGCTATGAGGGGGGAGGCTGAAAAAGTGGAGTATGGATAGAGGGTATTGTTCCAGTGTTTTTTTATGGGGATGATTTAAAAAGGTTGTTCGGTTATTGAAAATGCCAGTTCTGTGGTGTCCATTTGAGTTTTGCAGTAAATTGTTAATGTTTTTTTTTACTTTGGTTTCAAAATGCATTTCGCCATATCCGATCGAAGTATTCAAACACAGACAGACAATCCGAAGAAAATTGATTTCTTTCTCCAATAAGATTTTCCGCACTTTTTTTTGGTAAAAAAAAACCCCCCCTCCTCTACATAGGCATCTCCAAGCATACCCTACACTCAGAATCCAACAACCCTAGTCCAAACCCCCCGGCAATACTTACACCCCCCCCCCCAAAGACCTCGAATTCCCCACAAAGTCTCACATTCCACCAATCCACACTCCACGTCCCCTCTTTCCTCATCACAAAATGAAAGGGGCCACCATCCCTCCATCCCTCATCCTACATCCCGCTCCCCATCACCCTCTTGCATGCTCTTCTCGTATCGTCATCAACCCACCTGCCGTGTGTGGCCCGTGCGCTGAACGTCCTAAGAAAGACGTTTGCAAAGTGCTTAATATAACTCTCCTCCTTCCCTTGCAACCGTACCCTTCCACTTTTTTTTGCTGACATAATAATATGGCCCCCGGTCCCCTTGAATGGCTTTTCTATGCGGGCGCAGGCGAGCGAGCGGGGCAGGCAGGGTAGTGGGACGGGGGGCTGGGTTGTATATGGACGGAAGGGAGATTTTCCGTCTGCGGGTTGCGTAGGGAAGTGGGAGGGGAGGGAATGGATGACCGGGGGGAGAGAAGAACGGCGGGAAGTATGGGTAACAGCTATACTCGCGTTTGCTTGTGAGGTATTATATACTTGGTAGGCTATCTTCATTCCTACTATTATATTGTTTGTTCTTGTTTTCCGGGGTCGCATTAGTACTAGTACTACTACTACCAAAACCACGCACCAGTCAAGTCTGCAGCAGAATACCTTTTTTTTATGCTCAAGGTACATGCTTTTTAGCGCACGTACATATTGCATATATGTTTTTTTAGGGGGGGGGGGTAAATCCGACTAGACAGAAATGCAGCAAAAAGAGCGAGATTTGCAAACATTGTGGGAGGGGGTGAATTTTGTTTTAAATTACAACACGGCTGGGAAGTAGCGCCGAGGAAGGACGCAAAAACAAAAAAGGGAAATACTAGATGCTACTTAGGTTGGGGAAAACGGGTTTACATATTGTGTGATATCCGTTAAAACCCCCCTGACTTCATAAGAAACTGATGTGTAGGGTTTTTTTGAAGCTATTATCTTACTTTCGTTGTGTATGGAAAATGAAAAAAAGGGTAGGGCATGTAAACGTACGTCAAATAAAACCCGTCCAACGATTCATTTTTTTCTAGCCCTGTCCAACAGGCGCAGAAAGTGGGGCCCTCGCTCCGCAGGCTTGGGTGCTTGATTAAGCCTCGCTTGCGATGCTTGGGCATGCTTGTTGCATATAACATATGCAGAAATATTGGGGGCCAAACGGCGGGGGCGAAAAAGAGATAACGAACGTGAATCCAGATAATTGAAAGGGCTAGCTTAGTGGCGGCTTTTTTGTTGTTGTTAAGCACCGAGAGAGAGCGGCAGGGGATATTACCAAAAGGCGGAGCAAGGTAAGTAATGAGAAATTTAGCGGCGTGCCGGGAAATAAGGACGGTGAGCGAGACCCGCTTGGCGGATTGCAGGGTGTAGGGTAGTTGCGAGGTATTTAGATAGACGGGGCTAGGTCCCTGGGTTGTTTTTTATCTATTTTCACTCTTTAACACCTATTTTATCGTTGGGTGTTTTTTGTTGTTGTTAGATACTAAGGGATTTGAAAGTAGTAGTAGTCATGTTGGGCAATAGTAAGACCACTCTTGATCCCACCATCAATGGCCCGTACTAGAGATTAAACATTCGTATCTAACAACACCACTCCCCAAACCAGACCTTTCCACCCTCCTCGCTCTCGTCAGCGCCACACAAGTCGCTGCGGTGCCCTCAAACTGCCCACGCAGACACCCGCCGCCACCCTTCAACCCCATCTGCCATGTAACCCAATACACGCAAATCCCCGCGGCAGTAGCCGCCTGCACGCACATCACCCTGGACAACATCCGCGTACCCGGCAACCGCACCATCGACCTCTCCAAGCTGCAACGTGGCGCCAAAGTAACCTTCGCGGGCACCACGTTCTGGGAGTACGCCGCAGCAAACTACCCCTTTATAATCGTCAGCGGCACCGACATCGAAATCACCGCCGCCCCCTTCGCTGTCCTCAACGGCAACGGCCCCGCATGGTGGGATGGGCTTGGCAGCAATGGTGGCCGCATCAAGCCCAACCACTTTATCGAAGTCAAGAACGTGACTGGTTGTTCTGCCATTCATGATATCTACATCAAGAATTACCCTGTGCACTGCTTTTCGATTACGAATAGTGTGGACTTGGATGTGTATCGTATTAGGCTGGATAATGCAGAGGGTTATGCGCCGAATAATGTGTCAAATGGGTTGGCGGCGGCGCATAATAGCGATGGGTTTGGGGTCGCGAGTAGTAAGCAGGTGAGGATTAGGGATAGTGTGGTTGTAAATCAGGATGATTGTGTTGCGGTGACGAGTGGGGATGGTGTGGTGGTGGATAACATGTGGTGTAATGGAAGTCATGGGTTGTCGATTGGATCGGTTGGTGGAAAGTCGAGTAAGTATTTTTTTTCCCTTCTCCTTTTTTCCTTCCTTTCTTCATGTGCAGAAGAGGAATAGTAGAGCTAGATTCACGTGAGCATGTTACTAATCAAGCGTAGATAACATCGTCAACAACATCTCCTTTACAAACTCCATTGTTCTCAACGCCGAGAACGGAGCAAGGATCAAGTCAAACTCAAACACTACGGGATCCATTTCGAATATTTTGTTCAAGAATATCTTTCTGGAGAATATCTCCATCTATGGTATTGATGTTCAGCAGGACTACCTCAACGGTGGCCCAACGGGAAAGCCGACGAATGGCGTCAAGATCCAGAATATCACCATGCAGAATATCTGGGGCACGGCGACGCGCGAGGGACGCAACTACTATATTCTGTGTGGAGAGGGAAGTTGCAGTGATTTCACGTTTAATAACGTGCATGTTACGGGAGGTGGAAAGCCTAGTTCGTGCAATTTCAGGACAAAGGGGGACTTTGACTGTGATGGCAAGTTTGTGAGTTAGTTGTGGGTGTTGGATGTGTGGAATCTTCTTGTTTTTTGTATATATTTGATTCTTCTTTGCATATATATTTAAGATGTAGTAATGTTTCCAAGTAGAAGAGAAAGTGGAATAGGTGGCTTTGACATGAGACCATTCTTGCATTCTGTCAAATCTCTTTGGAAAAGAGGGAGAGTAAGTGACCCTGCGCGAGAAGATCTTTTCCGTCTGTGAAACTTGCACAGACATTTTGTCCAACAAGCTTTATCAATATACAAACAAGGAAGCTTCTTGAGCCAAGGTGGAGCAATATAAATACAGGCGGCCTAGTTAGGTTCTTCAAGATAGGGTCTGTCACTCGTGGCTTACAAGATCCTAGCTAACCTTGTAATCGTGTCAGCAGCAAATATGCCTACAACAACGTGTAATATTGTTTCTGCTCCGGCCATGGCATGTACCCCTTTCGAGGTTTGCGTCGGTGTAAAGTAGTCCTAGTGGGAATGGCTTGAGTCGGCTTCGGTAGCAGCTCCGTGATAGCTCCGTGGGCAGCCGGACTACATCACCCCGGGCGGCATGTGCCTAGTGGTTTCACGGGTAGGGCTTCACGGTTAAATACAGGCACATGTGTCCCTCTGCCGTGTCCGTCGCAATCGATTGAGTGCGGCGCGGACATAGGCGAGTGTGGATCGCGTCCAAGCTCCAAAGGCTATTCTGTTGATCAAGGAAATGACGTTACGTAGCGTGTTGAAGCGAGTGCGGATTGGCGAAAAGGGAAAGTCGGGTGGGCGGAGAGACCCCAGGCTACCGTTTTTCGGGTTGGTATGGGGTGAGTGCTATGCAGCTTGCGGCTGTTGCCAGTCGAGAGCGGCTCTTCTTGCCATGCAACTGCCGCTGGGCTTCGGATTGCTAGTTACATGCATATGCTGCGCAACGGACGTGTGCCTGGACGGACATGATTGGATGCTGGAAATAGCAGAAGCGCATTCTGACGGAACTTTGTCTATTGGCCATGGATAGGTTGCGGCATGCGTGACAGCGGTGATGTTCTGCCGGCTAGGGAGGGCATAGTCGCCGCAAGTTTCTCTGCTGTCGGGTCGGGTGCTTATTTACTTGCGCAGTACGTACCTGATCTACCTGCTGTTTTTGGTGACTGCATGCGTGGATAGTTCAAAGCACATGCATGCATGACAAGGCCATGGTCACAGTGTTCCGCGTCTCAGGGCAGTAAAAATCGTCACTGGACATGTTGAGTAGAGACGGCCTTGGTATGGTCACCCAGCGACCTGCGCCGTTCGCGTACTGACCAACGACGGCATGCGGCGCACGGATGGAGAGAGATATTTTCGGGTAGTGCAAAGATCTGTTTTTAGAGAAAAGGGTCTGGATGCAGGACAGACACCAGCAGGTACGAGGGCACCAGGGTTGGAGAATTGGAGAGACAGGGCGACCATGGTGGGGAAGAATGGGGGTGAACGCCCGCAAACCTAGCTGGAAGGCGCCGTCAGGGTCGGAGTCATGCTTGGAGAAGGCGCGTCAAGTCACGTGACAACAAACCCTATCCCCACGCTATGCGCGTCCGCGTCCGCGTCCACTGGCAGCCGCCCATTTGCCCATTGCTCACTCCAACCACCGCCAACACTGGACGTTAGCTCTGCAAATGGCTTCAGGATCAATGGGTCCGCCTAGTTGGAGCAGCCATGGACCCCAGCCCACCTTGTGGCGTGGTCCTAAAACATTGCACTCTCCTCCGCGGATGGGCTGGGACATGCCATGACAGCACCTGCAGCTAGCGACAAAGGACCGCAAAGGCACGGTAGGTAGGTAAACACACACACCACGCTCGACGGCAGGGTAGTACACGATCATGATTCCACTGGCCTGACTATCGCTGTCACTGTCACTACCACTACACCTACTAGGCCCCATCGCCGGCGCAAGACGTGCACGGAGCAGCACAGTCGTGCCGTCAGCACTTTCCGATGCCTCCGCCACTGAGAGCTGTCTTGGTTGGTGATCGGTCAGTCAGTCAGTGGGGGGGAGAGTGGGGGAATGCATGGCATTCGAGCCCTTTGCTGTGCTGTGGGCCTGGGTGGGCAGAAGACGTTGTGGGTGAGGAAACAAAGTACTACGCACTCCTGGCACACTTGGGCGAACTCAGCAAGGACACCTCCACCCGTTCGTGCACAACGTGGCAGGACGAGCCCTCACTCGCTCGCTCGCGCGCTGGTGAGCCGGCCGGTGTGGGCAACAGCGGCGGCGGCGTGCCGACGGTGGGCGCGTGCAACGAAATGGCATCAGGGCCCTTGTGGGTGCAGTAAAGGGCCCCCATGGCAGAATGGCAGCACCACGCCCGTTTGGGCAACCCATTAAGCGGCGCGTCATCCAGGTACCGCACTGCGAGCCCCTTACCATCCCGTTTTGCGACGGTCCACGGGTGCGTGCGGCCCTCAACTGCACAACCTATACGCCCTGCCACACACACACACCAGAGCCCAGCCGTCAACGCCAGCACTCAGGTGCATATCTAGATACATATCTAGCCGCACCAGTACTTACTCTCTCTGCAAGTCTAGTCTATCGCGCCGCTGCCCTTCACCCTCGTCTCTCTGACCTTGTCCTGGCCCCCTCGACCAGCCGCACCGCGTCGCGCCACATTCAAACACGCTATACTGGCATACCCTGCAGCACCCTCAGCCTTGCCCCAGCGTTGAGGCCAAAACCAGGGTGCGTGGTCTTGTCGGCATTGTGCACGAGCGCCCCAGTGAGCAACCCCCGTTTAGCTGCTTCTACGATCCTTCCATACGTCTTCTAGAAGAGTGCTGTTTCCGCCCTCCCCGCTGCAATCTTGGGCGACGTGATCCCGCCCGTATATCAACTTGTCGCACCAACAGTAGCGGATGCCTGCTCGGATACACGACCCTCCATTCCTTGGCTGTCACTCTCCCCCCAAACACCTCGACAACTTCCCCACCTCCCATCCACCTTCATTGACTGCGCTTCCATAGTCGCCTGTAAGTTCGAGGCTGCGCGGGGTCCACTGGGATGTTGCAATAGCTCGCGAGGCCCATTCTCCCCCACGAGCAAGCGGCTCCACCGCAACCATGGACGACAATGTCGAAATACCAGAAGAATCCATGCGACACATCGAGGCCCTGCTCGCAAGGCATCCTCCGCATTTGATTCAGCGAATGTTTTCACAGGCCCTAGAGTCACGTATGTAATTTTGCTCTTTGGCTGGCTCCTGTCCATGCGCTCACCGAGTCCAGGCCGCAACTCAACTGCCTCGTCCTTCATGTCCACCAGCACCGTCAGCTCATCCGCCACCTCTTCATCAGGCTCATCATGGCGCTCCCGGCTGTCAATGACGTCGACATTTTCCTCGTCGAGCAGCAACAGCAACAGGCATTCTCCCATGGCCTCGTCATCTTCGTCGCGCTCCCAGCCAAAGCGACCAGAGCCACGCTCGTATCCAGTTGGATTAGACCCCACCCGCCCAGTGCCTGCTGCCATGTCTTCGGACACGGACAGTCCACTCGACCTCAAGATTGAGCCAAGCAGCACACCAACAGACAACCTTAGTGTCGCCTCTCCCGTCTTGTTTGCCGACGATGACAAGTCGCAAAGCCAAACGGGCGAATCCTACATGTTCTGCACTTATTGTGCCGAACAAAAGAACCAAAAGACTTTCAAGGCCAAGTCCGATTGGAAGAAGCACGAAATGAGAATGCATGAAACAGGCGAAGATTGGCCGTGCATTGTCAACGGCTGCAACCGTATTTTTGATCGGCAAAAGGACTTCATCAAGCACCATCAGCGCTATCACACCGGCCGGCCCTTGCCATCGTTGACCGACATTGGCATCACCCTCCTCCCTCGACGGGTATTCGGCTGCGGTTTCGACAAGTGCAAAGAGGTTAGCATCGGCTGGGATGAGCGATGCGACCATGTGGCAAAACATATGAAGAACGGCGCCACAATAGACCAGTGGAAGTACTCGAATGTCATTCGGAATCTGATTCGGCAAGAAGCTCTCTACGATACTTGGAAGGAATTGATTGCCTGTCTGGACGAAAGGCTCCGAGAGAGCCGCTCACAGATCAGCTGGTGTCCTGACAACACACGGATCCTCCGACAGAAGCTTCAATGCTGTGATCTCCGACCGAGCCGAGAAGAGGTTCTCATCACTGCCTTGAGCCTACGTTCTGACATGCAACTAGATCCCGTCGACCAACAGCTACCCCCAGGTTTTGTCACGCCATCCAGGGACTCTGTACCAAATGTCGAAAAGTTATCACGAGAGCAGAGAATGCATGTTCTCATTGGAAATTCTGATCCGCACGTTGCACGGGCTCGCCTTGCAACTGTAAATGCGGCATTGGTCCGCGCCATCAACTCCTTATCGCATATACCAAATTATGATTGCGCATCTTCGCCATTTATGGAGCCACAGTCGCCCGCTCGCGACAACACAAACCACCGTATCAGCTACATGGATGTGGATCCTGGAGATTACCTTGATGTAGCGCAACCGGCTATACCCGATCTCCCACCGGCTATGACTACGGCCGCAATGCACACACCAAATACACACACCCCAATCATGGATCACACTCAGCAAGCTCAAATGTACCCTAACGAGTACATTGATCAGGCCAAGGCTCCTCCTAATCCATTAGAGGCACTATACCCGAATTACTTCGGCGGTGCACCTCAATTCGAAGAATCGCAGTACTACGACCGCCCGTCATTTGGTCAGCTGATCACGAAACCCCTTCATAAGATTGGTAATCGGCTAGGCGCGTCTAGGAGTAGTTCCACTCATTCCAGGCCGTCATCGAGTATGAGCCAAACCATGCCAGACATGAATGCGGATTATCCTGTTGCAGTAATGGGCATGCGGCACACACCTGAGCCGCAACAGCAGCAGCAGCAGCAACAACAACAGCAGCAACAGCAACCGCCTCATCTCCAAATGCAACACCAGCAGCATCTCCAACATCAACAGCATCTCATGCACCACCAGCAACAATCATTTCGTCATTTGACACCCCAAATGCATGACCAATTGCACATGTATGCGACGCAGAACTAGAAGAGAAACAAAAAAAGAAAAAAAGAAAAAAAGGACGTGTAACGATATGCCTCATATACGACTCACGCCCCTACGCAACCTTTTCTTGCCTATACGCTTTTTTTTCCTTTTTCCTTGTGTTGAACAGCGAGCATATAGAAGAGTGAGAGAAAGTTTTTTGTCTTTTCTTTTTCTTTGATACCCCCACCTACCCCCACTGGTGTGCTTTTCTTTTCTTGTTTTTCGGAAGGGAAAAGCCACGCTATGAGAACCATTATAGAGTTTTTTTGTGTGTATTGCATAGTCATATTAGATTGCCGCCCCCACCGTCATCGAGCTTGAAGGGCTCATCATCACTGTCACCGCCATCGCTGCATGCAGCTATTTTTCCTTTGTTGTTATTGTTTCGATTCTTCAGATGTATTCTAGGATTCTGAGATGGGGAGAAAGGTTGTCTTCGGACTTTGTGCGAGGCAACATGTTTCTCTTTTTTTTCGTGGAAGACACATACACGAGATGACTTGAAGAAAGAGAGAAAAAATTGGACGCTTCGTATCTTTTTTTTCGGCCTCTTGGGTAGCTTAGCAACAATTGAATACCCCATATCCCACTCTTCAAAACTCGTATCTTGTCTGATTGCTGTTGAGTTGAAGACATAGGACGGGGGGATATGTGGAGTTTGACACTCTGGCGACCTAGGCTCGTCAAAAGTCATCTTACGTCTTCACCTTGCTTAACCCGTCTCAATAAAAGTTCCACTCACTCCACAATTTCGTTTCCAACAATCGTACGGTTTGTTTTTAAACCTGACGGGAATGTTCCTCAACACCCCTTCCATCATGACACACACAGAGAGAGAGAAATACTTCAGCTGAAAACTCTACCGTAATCCTACTACTACTCCTTTATCATCGCAACACCCACATGTGTACCCTAAAAAGTAAAACACAGGTCACCCTATCGCTCCTTTACACTGATATCTAATTGGGGGGGGGGGGGCGCGAAGACAGCGTAAGCGTACACAGCGGAATAGTAGATACCGCTTGTAATTCCCATCCCCCCAGCTCTCTCTCCATGTATCCAGATTCCCCTCGGATCAACAACCGTACTCTCAACCCCC